AAGCCAAGACTGCAGAAATGTGTTCATATTTACGTGTGCCTGTTAAAAGATGTGCTGCAGCATTTTGGACCATCTGGAGGTGAGCGATAGAGGACTCGCTAATCCCCAGATACAGTGCACTGCAGTAATCCAGTTGGGTGGTTATAAAAGCATGAATCAGTGTCTCAAAGAGCTGTCTGCAGACCATTGATTTTACTTTGGCCAACTGCCTGAACTGAAAAAAAAACTAAATTTTACAACAGCTGCAATTTGGCAATCGAATTTTAGACCGGGGTCCATCTTAACCCCCAGGTTTGAAATATTTTTCTTGTTATATTGAGTTAAAAAGCCCAAGTCAATGGAGGGAGACCCAACAGTATCACCGAACACCATCACCTCAGTCTTCTCTTCATTCAGCTTCAAAAAATTAAGAGCAAGCCAAGATTTAATATCCTCAAAACATTCAAGCAGTGGCCTAACACAAGAATTTGTCTTTGTGACTGGTAAATAGAGCTGGCTATCATCTGCGTAGCAATGAAAGGAAATACCGTGTTTCCTAAGTATAGAACCAAGTGGGAAAAGGTAGAGAGAAAAAAGAAGGGGTCCAAGGACCGAGCCTTGTGGAACCCCATACAAAAGGGGCGCAGAGGAAGACATAGCAGCACCAAGCTTCACACAGAAGGTTCGATCCTTAAGGTAAGACCGAAACCATTCTAGAGCTATGCCTCGAATACCCACCCAGTGCTCTAAATGAGAAATAAGTATGTTGTGATCTACTGTATCAAAATCAGCAGTTAAATCAAGGAGCACTAGGACGACACAGTTCCCTGAGTCGGTGGCAAGAAAAATATCATTTAAAACTTTCACCAAAGCAGATTCAGTACTGTGCAGGGTATATATTGACTACTGTAGTACAAAGCCCCCTATTTATAAAGGCTTGGGTTAATTGGATGTCTGAGACTATTCATTTGTTCTGTTTTGATTCAATAAATCTAATTATTCTGCTCATTTATTGTATTTATGATATCAATACCGAATCATGTTTTCGATAATATTTAAGCAGGTACTATGGTGTACATTTTTGAAAAGGTCATAAATATCCTGTGTTATTGTAATAATCTGAATTTTACAGAAAACAAATGTTAAATACCTGTAATGGCAGGTTTTTCTTCATTTTGAAGACCAAGAGCTTAGAAACACAGATCATCTATAAGAATCTAATGCCACCAAAGTAGCCACACATCTCCCAGACAGATTTCCACTTTTTGACTCAGTATTACTGTGCATGTAAAGTCTCATTGATGAAGATATCAGCTGATTCTAGTCTCAGTCTAAAGTGTTAATTGCAACAGAGTCAAAATTATATACTATTTTGTTTGAAACAAGTATAGGTCTGGACAGTGTTTGAAAACCCGAAGGGTGAGCTGAGACAGGGAGTTAAGTGGCTCTTTAATATCCACTGTCAGAAGAAGTCAGTCCGGCTCATCATCATCACCTCTACCTCACCAGCTTGGCTTTTACTACGCATTCACCTCCTAATGAGAATCGCTGCTTTGCTTTATCTCTTGAGCCAGTTGTCCCAGCCTCTCCTTATCCTGTGGCATCACAATGGCAGCATGGCCTTTAACTACAAAAGAGGCTTCTTTGCTCTCACTCACAACCTGCTTTCAGCAGCCACGCAAAACCACCCCCCAACCCCACCTGCCTAAGTGCCAGCCTTTGAGGCAAATGTCAGCTAATTACGGGTTACACTGTCGACCTTTCTCACCCCCACCTGAGCCAGCGCCACTTGATCCGCCATATCACCCTTAGAGCTGAGCTCCATGCTACAGGTTGACTCTGGGAGTGTGCTGCAGAAACACTCTATGCACATAACAAGCACGCACAAAAAACACAGGTCGGTTTGGCTTTGCTGGGTTCCCACAGAGGAGCAGACTTAATTAAAAAACTTTCTAACACTGAGGAGGCACCACTGTTCAATTTGGGTCCTGATTTTGATTGAGTTGTAGTCTTGAGTCTTGCTTTAGTCTAGTTAAAGTCAACAAAAATAACATAAAATGTTCTAATCTGCTTTCCATTCAGTGACCTTTGAATCTCAGATGAAACAAGAAATGGTCTGAGCAGCACAAAAAATGCTGCAATATGAAAAAAGAGAGTTATAGATCAGAGAAAATGAGGAGAATAATGTCTTGAAATGTGAAAAAAAGTCCAAGAGGGATGTCATCAGGCCCTGGACTATTCTTTGAAGTGGTTGACTGTCTTTGGGGACTTTGGTTTTGAAATCTGTTGTTAAAATTCTTTCTGCTTTCCATAACATTCACTTTTTATAGTTAGAGAGTAGTGACGGCAGTAAACCATCCACAGTGCATTACGATGATGAGAAGAAAGGGTAATTTGGAAAAGAGTGCATCTGTCAACATACTGTAAGTGCAATCACAGCAACAACAAACAAAAAAGACGGGTACTGGATGCAAACCGGCAAATGTCACTGTTTTGCAAAAATAAAGAAATGCATTGCAACAAAACACATTTTGACTAATGGCTCATTTTCCTGCCTGAAAGACCTTAAACAATGTTCTCTCTATTTTCTAGGAAAAAAAGAAACTGAATTTAAGACATTTCTATTGAAGTTAAAAAACAAAAGAAAGCTTGTATTCCTGTGTTAGTGCAATTCTGTCTGGGTGCTACATTTTTTTCTTAACATTTTTCTAGTTTAAACCTCTGAAGTTTTACAGCCAGATCCCACACCTCTTCGACTGTACAGGTAGTAGACCCAGCTTCCAGAACAACTTGACTTAACTATGTTGCCATTTGGATTTGTGTGTTTAAAAAATTAAATACAGGTGCAACAGAAACAAATTGGGAGAAAGGCAGAAAACACAAGCAGAGGCTGTAAGTTTGGGAAGAGCCTCAGTTTACACCTGTTCCTCTTCTCGGGTGTCTCAGCTACTCCCAGACCTTAACCTGCTGTCCCCGTCTTCCCCCTCATATGCATTAGATATTCATTTGCTTTCGTCACACACCTGGTGTACACTGGTGCAACACCTTTTCATTTTAAAGTTTTGATCAGAGATATTCACTGAAGCTAAATGACTCAACACAACAGTGAGTCAGCCTCCTGGAAGCTTGTACGTTTTATTTTTTAAACTGCAACACAAAATAGCACATTTACAGGACAGAGGACATAACATAGAAGACAAGACAATATAGACATTTACAAAGGAGACACAGGGGGTTTACATTTGGTTTGTGTGTATGAGAGTGTGTAGTGTGGGTGTATTCAGCTCTATATCACCTGGGATTCAGTAAATATTGAAGAAAGATAAGAATTAAAGAAAGTAGATTAATAAATTACACTGGAAAAAAAGGACTCACCGGGTCTTTGGATTTACACAAATTATGCTAGTATATGCAACGTAATTCATTCATATTTCCTCTGTTAACATAATTCAAACAAGTTAACCCCTAAAGAAAATTATGTTGGTTTTACACATTATCATTGTGTGGGACCGATGTACACATTGCAATCAAGTAAATCCAACAAATCTTTTTTTTCAGTGTAGGGGAAAAGAGGAAAGGGGTGGGGAAGTCAATTAAGAGGAAGTAAACCAAGTTGGGTTCGGGTGAGGACTTAAATCAGCAAGTAACTAATTAAGACTCAGAGTTGTCTGGTGATGTTTGTGCCCTGAACCACCAGCATGGCAATGACACGAGGCTCCAATACTGGGGGCTCCAGAGTGGCTCAGAAGGGGGAGGTCAGCAGGGCAGTTGCATCCTTGTTTTATGATTAAACCTTTGCCTTTTTGATTGTTTATCATGACTTATATTGATTATTGATTGTTGAGACTGAAACAGCTCGGGCTTTGACAGGAGAGGCCCGACCTGTTGCTGCTCCCAGACCCTGAGGAAGGAGCTTGTCTAAGAGGGTGTCAGCAGCCCAGCGATTTTATGTATGACTGAGAAAGAAATTAGTAGAAGTAGAAAGAGAGCTGGGTATTTAATATGAGCCATGAAAGCTCCCTGGCAGGGCAAACAGAGAGGAGAATGCCACCTACAGAAACTTCAATATCATCAACACTAAATAAATACAAAAAGACAGAGAACCACCCACACTGTTTTATTTTCAGGTAAAAATGTGGGAAGTGCAAATGCTAAAACCAAGATGTTCCAACAATCCAAAATCAAGGATTTTTTAAAATACAAATATAAAGTAGATTTTTAAGAGAGGATATATCTCATGGGCCCAAATGTGTGCGGATGCAATGTTGATGATTGATCAGATGACGTTGATGATAGACCAGAGGTGTCGCCTCAGCCTGGCACCACTGGGCATGTTATATAATTGTTCAGATTGGTCAAATGGGTCAGTGTACTGTAAGAGAAAAGTTATATTCTTGACTAAACTGAACAACAGTTTGAGATTTGATGAATGATATTACTGACAAGTTTTCATACTTACACCTAGCAGATTGTTTGAGTGGCTCCTATGAGTGTTCTACAGTGTGATCTGTCTCCCCTGTCGTGAAGTCATGCTTAAATTTAGGCAGCTTTACTTCTCCTGCCTCCTACTTTATCTAATTGGGCTGCAAAGTCAGGTCTCCACAGTTCATAAGCTAGATGTTCAACAAATAACTTATCTTCTCATTTCACACCCAAAGATACAGCATTACAATGTAGCCTCATTGTAAATAATTGCTATTGATTAGTCTTCACTCTGTTACCTACAATCCTTCTGTTGTTATTCCAGCTTTTCTACCCTGTGTTGTCAAAGCACGGCCCTTAAATTAGCCCTGCCTGCCACCTAGTAATATTTATGAGAAGTGTTTTTCAAACTGCAAGCAGTCATTTTGCACAGCCAGCCATGGAGGAGCTCTCGGCAGCTAAAAGCCTGAAACGGTGGCTGCCAGAACGAAAAGGACATGTTCTTTTGCACAGAGAGAGTGGGACAAAGAAACACATAAACACAAATACAAAAAACACACACAATAATTCCACTGCACTGTTTGTGTTTCCCCTTCCAGAGACATCAAACCTGACAACATACTACTGGATGAGCACGGTAAGACCCCTTTTCTAATTATATTTTTAATATATTCAAAGTGAAGGGGGTGGAATTTAAAGTCCATAAACTGCACAAAAAATTTTTTATTAGGTTTTCGTCATTTAATATTTGACTCGACTGACACAGTGACCTGACTTGACTTAGAAATTCCAAACTTAAGACTTAACTGCATCTGACTAAGGATTTTCCCACACCTCCAACCTGTGGTATCACTTCTACACAGCTCACAGTATGAAGAAGGACGATACCTCATTCCTTAAGTTATGTTAACAAACCCTGCATGAAGAAGGTTTTTTGCCTGTTCTAAATGACTGATTAAGTCTCATCATAGGTTTTAGTTTCACACAAATAGGCACATACACATGCACACACACACACACACACACACACAATAAAAGACACAGAGAGCAATGTGTGTGTGTACTGTATGTCAGAGGGAGAGAAACCATTTACTTTACAGACATTTGGAAACATGCACTTTTACTGAATTCTGCTACGTATGGTATATTTCTACTGCCTTCGTGAAAGTAGTTGGCTAAATTAAAGACTTTCTATCAGGAGCACTAGGTACTGTATATCTACCTTGCCAGCTGTTGCACAAACACTGGGCTGATATTTTTCTGAAATGTTGTGTGATGATGTTGCTTATGTTACCAATGAGGAGATGAAATTGGATGGCGCATGGAATACTGTGATGTTTTACGTCAATGTATAATTAACTAACAGTAACATTAAGGTTTCTCTTAATTTGTACTAAGGGATCTAGCCATGGAGAGCAGTCTGAGACCAACAGTCTTCATATTCACACCCACACACAGACACATGGAAGTCCTGAGATCTCAAAGGGCACTGGGCAGCTGCTCAAGGGAGCTGAGTGGGCGTGTGGGATGGCAACCCTGCTGTTGCTACAAACTGGAAACAGACAGATAGAGAGAGAAAAAGGGTGGGACAGAGGAAGAAAGAGCAAGACAAACAGGAATAGCCACAAGGATAAGACATGAAGGAGGAAAGTGATGAGCTAACATTTTTGGAAAGACAGATTTGTCAAAGGAAGAAAAATTGGCTTGACAAGGACAGAAACAGATAAAGGAAGAAGAGAGATAAGGAGAAAAGAGCAAACAGAGATTGAGGGAGTGGCAGATTTGTCATCCTCAGCCAGATTTGCACAGGACAACGCATGTATTCACTCAGTATTTTCGTGCAGAACTGTAGTTTACCTCTCCACTGATGTTTAAAGCAACATGAGATAATGAGGGGGCAAATGGGCCGTGTGCTTCTGCACACCATTTCAGTTTTGCAAGCTGAAACTGCCCCTTGTCTCCCGGGTTCCTCTGTGAGCTGCTTCTTGCAAAGAAAAACAATTTATCTGTAATGTATGGGCTGTTGTCTGCTATCCACTGTGAGCACTCACTACCTGTGAGAGAAGTCTGTACATTACAGGGATATTGAAAAAAACCACAGGTCTCTCTACTACCACACAAACACAAAGGAGGGCTTGGACTCTAAGTTCATACATGCATATGGGTTTATCTGGATGACGCAAACATTTATGGTATTGGTAGGATTGAGTTTTACAGAGGGTATGTCCTGCCTTGTTGTACATGTCGTTCTGTGGGTAACAATTTCGATAGCACAATACTTTCATGACAAAATTACTTTGATTCAAGCGGAGATGCAACAGCAGTTAATTCTGTGGTATTCAAGCCTCTAAAGCACTCTTTTGTTTTTACAGAATAACATGTCAATATGCTAAACAACTCCAGCGATAGGGCATGAAAATAATTTCTTTTCTGAAGATGAAAAGAGAGGGAAAGTAATTTTCTACCTAGTCTGACTCAGTTATTTCTAATGTATTATGTCACGAAAGGCTGATTAGCCTCCTCTCTGTCTCTGCAGCTAGAGGCCCCTTCTAGCCACTTTTGGAAAGGGTATTTTAAAATAAAAATATTCTGCCAGAAATGCATGTTTTGTTTTTCTTCTGAGGATCCACTCACAATGAACCCAGCTAGTCAGGAACCACTGCTTATTACCTCCATTCACTTTACCAAGAAAGAATTCCACTAACACCGCTGTGGTGAGGGTCTGTTAGCCAAAATCAACATACTGCACACTATTCCATCGTACCAATTTGAAGACCGTTCCATAATTTATCTCTTATTCTTCCTCTGACTATGAATAAACTCTGTTTGTCCAGTTTTACTACCTTTCTGATTGTTTAGATCAGGTTACTCAGTGTTATGTCTGACACATGGCTGAGTGAACTAGAGTCCAAATTACACAATTGATGTTGAAAAATGAGCATTTAAAAACACTTAAGCAAACCCGTGAGACTAAACAGCATCAGTTACTGGTCATTGGCGGCTGTCCCACAGATCCAAAGAGGCGTGAACTGACCAAGCACTGCTACAGTACTATCCTCAGAGCTGTTGTGAAATCATCTATGACAATTTGCTTAAACATCCAGAACTTTTTTTTTTTTTTTTTTGCTACAAGGTACTTTTAGCCCAGCAACCCAGCATCATGATGAGGTTTGTCTCTTTCTTCCTGCTGGCTACTGTGCAAAACCCCTATCCTAAATCTGTCTTCTGCAAAGCTAAGAGAGAAGAATACCGAAAAAACGGTGCAATTATGTGATAAACAGGAGGCATCATTAAATATGAAAGAAGATTCACTCTTACTCAAGCAAGTCTGAACTGATGTTAATGCAGTCTGATGACTGCATTAACAATGGTCCTTTTATATCAGCAAAGCACTGCCAAATCTCTTTCTGCACCAGCTACACTTACACACCACAGCATATTCCAAACGGTTAAGGACAATGACCTATCAAGAAGTGTAAAATAGAAGAAAAAAGATGTAGGGTTTATGGTGGAAAAAAGAAAATTAAAACCTGCAGAGAAGGAGAGGGAATAAAAAAAAACCCAGAAGAAAAAGACAAGGAGAATTTTTTCCCAGAGAACAGATTTGTTCTGGCAGCTCTCTTATCTGTAGGGCCCAGTGTCTTTGTGTAAATAAACTCTGTGACTGGCCAGCTCCTGTCTGCTTTATATTCACACACAGTTATCTGTTTGTGTGATAAAACACTCTACTTTTGAAAAATGTGTGTACAGTATGCTGCTGCTTTTGTATAGTGGTCTTACTGTACAGTCCTGTATGTGCCTGTGGGGTTATCAGGGACACCCATTCAGCCGAACAATTACTCTGCGGCAAAACGGCTGTTTCGCTGTCTCACTCAGTATGACACACACGCACATACAGTGTAGATTCAGCTCATTAGTGTGTGCTCAGTGTGCATGGCAACAACTCTGAGCCATCTTGCGGCAGTGTGAGACACAGATCAGCGGTTTGACTTTGGAAACTGCTGAATTTGCTCCTCATTCTCAGTCACAATATCATACTGTACAACTTCCATTTTGACAGTTAAAGCCTTGGTTAATTTACAATGTATACATTTTAATAATTTCCCTGTGACAACATTATGATTGCAAGAGTACATAAAGAAAAAGGCACTACTTTAACAGGTTGGGTAGTACATTAAAATTCCCTTGATCCTCATTTTTGCACATCTAACACTTACATAAGCTGTGTACAAAGTAGAACACCTGCATCTATAAGCTGTAGTTACATTTAATCCTAAAAGAAAAGCCTTAAAGTTCAAGGGGAAACAGTTTGTACTCGAAGCCATAAACGCAGCTTTGTGGTGAAATTCAGTAAGTTTGTATATGCAAACATGATCTGTGAGGGGGGTGGCTGTGGCTCAGGAGGTAGAGTGAGGTTGACAGGTCAATACCAGGCTTTTCAGTTCCTTAAGCAAAACAATGTAATCCTAGTTGCTCCCAGTGATATCACCAGTGTGTGAATGTGTGAGCATTTGTGTGTGCAAATGAGTGAATGGGAGATATTGTAAAGTGCTCTGTGTGTGCACCAATGTGTCGAAAAGCGCTATATAAGTATAAGACCATTTACACAACCTCATTGGTCTACAGGGCACGTTCATCTAACGGACTTCAACATTGCAGCGATTGTAAAAGACGACCTAAAAGCGACATCCATCGCAGGAACCAAACCATACATGGGTAAGAAAATACATGTTTGACCGTTGCTTTACAAGGAAACTTCAACACAGAACTTGAAAGAGAAGCTTGAGAGTTAGTTTTTTAAACCAGGTGCCTTAATCCACAGGAAGCATGGGAAATAACTCAGACTGCAGACAGCATGTGTGCTTATCCAAATTTTAAGAGTAATTAAATGATTGATGAAGAGATGTATGATGGATGATGGACTGAGGGAACATGCAGGAAAAAAATAACCAAAGAGAAGAGATTTTAGGCCAACACTTGACATTTTACAGAAAGTAATATTGTCATTATAGACAAATGTTTACCCTTGTCAGCACAGCTGCAGTCGACCTACAGTAGTGACTAGATCGATGTGGATTCAGCTCAGATCAGATAGGAGCTAAAACAATTTCAGAGGATATGACTGCTGCATTTTGTGTTTTACTGTGTGTATGAGCATGTGCGTGTCATCAAGATGTTTTTACTTGTGTCTATGTGTCTGTTTTTTTCCTAATAAAGTGAGTGTTCATGATGAAGAATGATGTTTTAATCACGTGCAACTAGATTTCAGCCAAATCCTCTGTGCAGTAGTATTTAATTCATTGTTACTAAAATAAAATAAAAAAAACCTCTCTCTCAGCAGCTTCAGATAAACTGCACTTTTGGCATCGGAGGTCGGGTTCTGAAGTCTGTGCACCACACTCCATTTAATTTTGTTGTCTGTTTTTCTGTCAATCAGCTCCAGAGCTTTTTCAACCTTTTGAAGGGTTCCACCCCGGCTACTCCTTCTCTGTCGACTGGTGGTCACTGGGCGTCACAGCCTATGAGCTGCTGAGAGGACAGGTAACTCAGACACACAGACGGAGCACTACGTCCGCATCCCATCTCACGTCAGCGTGGCCTGGCACATTTTACTGCATTGAATAATAAAACATACACTGCTAAAATCCTCTCAATAGCAAAGCAGACATTCAAAAAGTCATCACCCACCAAAACAACAAAAAGGAAGGCTAAGCTATAACTGAATTTTACATTTAAGCTGACCTTACTAGGGAAACCCTTTAAATGTTTAGTCACTGTGTGAGACGAATTGCTGCCGGAGAATGAGAAAATTGAATTTGATTTATTTCGAGAGCCATGAAATCAAAATAGATCTTAAAAAATATTATTTATTTAATTTCTTGCTGGTCCCATCTGGAGTAGGTTAATTCTCCTATCATGGAAATAAACACAGGACATAATTTTTCACTTGGTCTCCTAGTGATTTCAGACTGCAGCCGCAGAACTTGCTCTCACGTTTCAGCATGGTGAATAAACACAAACTGCAGTAACATTTTCCTACACTAACAAGGACTGAGAACACCTGAAACTGATCTAGAGTTGTCATAAAATGTTAATGGAACAATTTCTAAAAAGGTTACACCCAGTACTATCCCCTCTCACCCTTCTTGACAGTTATTTTACGCGATCACTTTTGGTTATGCTTTCTAAAATGCATTGTGACCTCTTCCTGACTTTAAGAGTCACAGCTTACACCCATTGAAATAGCTTTAGTCCGCCCTTAAGCTTTCTTTTAAACCTCAGAACCTTTCTTTATCCTTTCTAAAATATGTTCTGTCCTCTGTCTGACCTCTAACCAACACCTTCTTAAGCCGCGTCCTGTGATTTTCATGTACGCTTCAATCTCCTCTCATTCAGAGCAGGATTGCTGAGCATAGTTTCATACCCATAAATTACTTAGAGTGACATACTGTAGACTCTTTTTTCTCACAGCTCCACTTTTTAGATGTTCCTCCATAATCCCCGTCACAGACTCTTTCACCCCTCTGATACCACCTTTACCTTCACCCAGACAATTCATTTTTACTCGCCTCTGTCTCCTAAGGGCGTTCTTCTACACTTTTCTCTGAATGCCTCATTTTAACACCATCTATAAAACCTAAATATGTCTCAGGGCATTAAATAGCCTGTTGGATGTGTGGAATTATTTGGCTGTGGGAAATGGACAGCCAGCTCACTATTATCCAGCTCCAGGCAGTTTTTGAGCCTGTACTTCATCATATCTCTCTCCCTCTTGAGCTCCAACCACCATACTTCACTTTCAGACATTCAACCCCTCTCTCAGTAACTGCGCTTCCTTGCTGGGCTTGGCCTCTGGTTGCATCTCTCCACAATCACCAATCAATTTGTGTCATTTGTTTGTTTCCCCTCCTCCAGCCTCTTCGTATTTATTTTTTTATGTATTTATTTTCTAATTAAGATGAAACCTCTCCGGCTTCAGAGAGGAAGCAGGGATAACTTGATAAGCTTACAGCACAAAACAATGCAAATATATTATAATACTTGAGCCAATATCTGCCTTATTCATCATCTGATTTCTGAACATCTGAATTCAACAGAATATATCACTGATTATCTGACACCTCAACTGTGCCAAGTTTGGGGAGCATCTGCAGAACGGTAAAATAATTGCTGTAATACAATAAATGAAACTGAAGAATGATGAGGCTCCCATATATGTTGCATGTCATTGCCATTTTGCTTTCATCTTTCCTGTCTGACTGCATGATGAACCATCTGACAAAACAGAGAAAGCATTGAGTGTGCAAAAAGGTTATATGCCCATGCATCACACTGCTATAATAATGTATACAAACTATGTGGGAGAAAGAGGCAAAGGAAAGGACTGTCCCACAAAGAGCCTTCTCCCACTGAACTGCAGAGGGTTTAAGTTATCATTTGAGATTAGTCCCTTATTGTCCGTTTCCTGTATCATTTGTTCCCATCAGTGCAGGAAATGGGTTCACAGAAGGTGAACACAAGGAGAACTGGTGCAGTGTGGGAGTAATGCGGGAACAAACTTTAAAACATACTTTATCAAAGAAACTCCTCCAGGCAGTGCATGGCTGTGAATAGTAGTTGTCTGTAACACGGTCTTCTTTCCCTTCCTCTTATCTGCTCTCCTCAGAGACCATATGTGATGAGATCCAGCACACCAGCTAATGAGATTCTTCAGACCTTCCACAAGGTCCACCCCAGCTACCCAGCAGGCTGGTCTTTAGAGATGAAGTCTCTCCTCAGAAAGGTAAACAAGTGGCATGCAATATAATAATGTAGAATATACCATGGCAGTTTGTTGGCAATTAGGCTCCTCACACCTCCCCAGAATGTACTGTAGTCATTTATTTTCACTGATGGTGCCTGGTGGCAAAATTGAACTCTACAATACTACCATACAACACAACATCGGTAAAACATCATGCACACCTTGACCAGTGCTGTGTGATCATACAGGCGAGAGAGGTAGAGTATGAATTTTACTTTTGAATTCTTTTTTCCTGCTGCATTGACAATAACTATAACCAGTACTTCACAAGGGATTTATTTGTTTATAAAAAAATCATGCAGTTAATAGTGCATCTTTAGAGTTGTAATTATTAAGTTTGATCAGTATTCAAAAACAGGAATTCGTGTAGTTGGTACAGACTGGCCTATCACATTGTAACTGTTACTCAGCACACAGACAAATAACTCTGAGGAACGAAGCCAATATGACTGTAGAGTCACAAACACAGAGTTCATTAACACTATTCATATCTCTCTTTAGTTACAATCACTTTAAGATAGTGCTTTACATATAATATAATTAGCCTACAGTCTATTAACTGTTAGAAGTCCTTATTACTGCATCACAATTAAGCCACTTGCAAAGCTAACAGACACAATATTGCTGTAGTGAATGAGTTTTGTCTTGGCTGCAATCCACTGCAGTCAAACTGTTGCATTGCTTCGTGCTCAGACTTCTCGCACCTCATTGCCATTCCAGTCGCATGTGTAAATGTGTGTGTATGAAGGAGAGAAAGAGCGTGTGTATGTGTGTGTTTGAGAGATGTAAAGAAAGTGAGAATGCAAGGGGAAATTTCTATGCTCAGTATAACTGTCCTTCATCTTACACACTTCACAACCTGCTGAATTCTCATCACAATCAGCTTCCTATATGTAATGCGTTTTCTCTTCCCTCTTCCTTTATCCCTTTGTCACCCTTTATCCCCCTCTCTTTCCATCCTCTCCAATCCTTTTCTCCTTTTCTCCCACCTCTAACCTCTCATTCTCAGACACATCCTTAAGAAGGACTCTGCCTCTAACCTTGTCCTTCCCTATGGACAATCATTCTTACTCTGATCCTTTTATTTCCTTCAGTTGATGTGCATAGATGCCCAGAAGCGCATTTCCTGTCTAGCAGAGCTACAGGATCTCGACTACATGTCAGATGTCAACTGGGACTCTGTGCTCAGCAAACAGCTTCCTCCAGGCTTTACTCCCAATGTGAGTGTCACTAAACTGCGTGCTACCTCAGTATGCTACCCAACAAAGCACTCGCACCTGAATAGAAGAGTGTTTATGACATTGTCCTGTTAAATTGTATTACTAATCAGATCCACCACACTTTCTCCAATCCACTGTTTCCCAAAAAAAATGGCACAAAAAATCAGCACCATCAAATGCTTAAACAACAAAATAACATCCAGTAACAAAAACAACACAATACCAAATGACTAAAAAGCCATCTGTGGATGCCAAAATCCAAAATAACTTACAGCTTTCTCAGAGTATAAAAACATGATTGTTCTGTTTTTAAACTTCAGTCCCTGAAACCCTCCTCCTTTCTGCTGTTCCCTTATTTCTATTGCCATGCCAGAATTTCCCCTAAGGGAACCAAGATGTAGGGGGGGAAAAGATGTAGCCAGAACTGCCCACCCTTCATCTCATCTTTTCTAGTCCAGCTGCAAGCATCGCCACCTGCTGGGCCAAGCTGATTTCCCACTGAGTGTGTTGAGACCTAGATGCAAAATAAAAGGATAAAGTAGCACATGTGTGTGTGCATCTTACTGTAGATACAGACAAAAGCAGAGAAAGCCTCCACAAGTTTACCTGCAGCTCTACAGGTGGTCTCTGGATCATTATAACAAATTCAGTGGATATAGCAGCTGCACTTGCACTTAATACCATTAAGCAGAAAGTCAGACTGCTTGCAAATGGATGTGCTGCAAACTCAGAGGGCATTCTTCATCTTCAGAGTCAGATCTACCTCCCTCTCTACGATGAGCTGGCGTCCCGGTCTGGGCCGTGCTGTACAGCTGCGGTCTTTGTTCAAAGCCCACGGTGTACTAGCGATGTCACAAAGAAAAACTGCATCTCACCTTAGCTGATTTGCTACTGGGCTGTTTTAATGGTGTCTCTGAAGTTTAACACAGAATTAGCTTAAATAAAACTTATTTTAGACTCAGTTTCTAAACGTTCTCCACCATGGGTCCGAGAAGAGCCGCACACTGTCTTGTGAGTGTGAATCCTCCAGTATTAGCATACAAAGCCTTTACCTGAGCCAAAGCAGCAAAGCCATGTTCTATGTGTTTGGAAGGGGGCAGGGAGTTGTCTTTCTGCTCCTCTCTGCTTGGAAAATCAACATTAGTTTATTAATTGTTCATAAGAAAAAGGTTTTCTCTGAAATGTTTCCTGGCCCTGTGGGCACTACCTATAGCTGTCTTTGTTGGTCAGTCCCATCGACACAACGATCAAGCAACTCTCACTGCTTGGTGCCACAGCTGCAAGCGAACACATGACTAAATGACTTGATCTCATTCTAGGAAAAGTATATACAGTAGCAACTGTCGAGCAGTGGGTATCCCAGCAGCCAGGTTGGCACAGCTGAGGGAAAACACAGAAGATCAATGGGGAATTGACAATGTCTCTCTAATTATAGACTCATCCTCTGTCTTTAGTTTCCTACAGACTATTAATGTGTAGACATGAAGGGAGAACTCTACCCTTATGTTTTGTTTCCTAGCAATCAGTCTGCTTTGTCTTTAATGGCATGCTGCCACTCAAGCCTGGTGTTTGTGCAATGCAACCCTCTATCTGTACTCGTCTGCAAAAATAGTCTCTAAGTGAAGACAACATGTTTCACTGGAAATTATTCACTAGAATCATACCTGTCAATACAGTGATAACTTCTATTTTGCCCCCCCAAAAATACACTTACGGTAATATTTTTTATTACACTGCTCCGCCAACGTGACTGGTTTGGTGGAGGCATACAACTGTAACTCTACAGCAGTTAAATGTGTACCTCTACTGAATGTCTCTCTAGAAACGAAGACTAAACTGTGACCCTACTTTTGAACTGGAGGAAATGATACTGGAGTCCAAACCGCTTCACAAGAAGAAGAAAAGGCTTGCAAGAAAGACCAGGGACCAGGGGTCTGATGGGTCGCCACAGGTAAGGCTTTCAGTTAGTAACATTAAACACAGTAATTGCACATTACACAGGAAGGATGAAAAGGGTTTGCTCCAAAATGAGACAACACCTCCTCAAAGCAGTAGCATTTATCAAGAGACAGTGGAAAACTTAAGGTAGGCTTGAGCTTTATCAAATCACTTTTACAGAATATATAATTTAAATTCCAAGCACTTCTGTAACTACCAGTGTTTCGCTAAAAAGTTTGAATATACACTTTAATTTTAGACTGGTTCATCCTGTCCTCAGTGGATCTAAGTCAGTACTCATCATTATTCGTTAAAGAAAGCTGCCCGCTGTTTTCCTTTGGCCCAGTTAGAGGTGATAAGCTGCTTCTTAGTGTGTCTTTTAAATGTGTCTGGAGCGCTATTAAGATGCCGAGGACATGTTTTAGAGCTCAGAATAAATGGGTCCTCTGGCAGCTGCACATATGGAGGAGGCAAACAATTCAGTCACCTGCAGTGTAGTTCTCTTTCATTTCCAGCCTTTTACTCTGTCCTCAAAAATCTGCAGTTGTCTGTTTTTACAAAATAAAGAGGAAAGCAAAGGTTCATGTGATCACGCCATCAAGTGAAACATGGGTGGAATATACGCACACAGAAATACACTCAATTTGTGTATGAAAGCACCTGAGTGAATATGTCAATTTAAAAAAATACGAAAATATCACAAAACCTCCCACAAATTAATTCATGAAACAAACTTAAATGCCATATTTCTGTTATGGCTTATACAATGTTTTTCCACTGTTTGAGGTCTGACATGTACTCTTACACTGTTTAATTGCACCCAGCTGGAGAATTAGCACCTCTGAGTATTTATTTCTATGTACCAACACTATTTACATAATGGTATTGGCTGGAAATGTGCATTATTTGAACAAAATCTAGCTATAATGTGCACAACATTTAGATGGAAACCTGACTTAGATCTATCCCGAGTCTATAGTCATTCACTGACATATATTGGTGCATAAGAGAAACAGGAGAATTGCTATTTCTACAGTAAAGATACAGGTCCATTTTCAACCTGTTGTCACTAGAGAGATTTTAGTAATGCAACTGTAAAACAGGCATCCAGGTCTGTTTCTAAGAAGAAATGTGCACAATAGAGGAGTCAATTTATTGGGGAAGTGCCACAATAAATTTTAGGTCTCTGTCCAACCTTGAATCATTAGATTTTTCCACTGAGACAGTAAAAGAGATCAGGAGGTGAACACAAACAAAGCAGGTCCCCATTTGATTATTTATTGTTTACTACTGGCAATAGAGCAGTAGTGTGTGTTGGGTCTGGCTGCTATACTAAAATATTGTGCCACACCTCTGAAACTTGTCCTCACACATACTGTACAGTATGCAAACGACCTATGGTTTGGCCCTCCTCCCACTTTGTGGTGCATTACATTAGTTGGTGGGACTCTTCCAATAGAAGTGAAGCACTCCGTTTGGTCTAGACTCCAGAGGACAAATGTGCGAGCCTGCAATGAAAAGATCGGCCTGGCCTGAAGTGTGCCATGTTTTATATAAGCTGACAACTGGTGTGGAGAGCTGCCTATGTGTTGTAAATATCAGTGATACCTCACTGTGCAGCCAGACAACACCTGTCATCCCTTGGCCCACTCAGACACAGAGAAAGTCTCTTATTCTAATGAAATAATCATATCAACTTTTCAGAAAAACCCTTCATATGTTAATAGAAACATGTCTGACTAAAGGAAAGTAGTATTAAATAAATGGCTTTGTAGCTTACATTTTCTAATTAAATTGCCTTAATTCATTCTTGACATGTAGACAATATTTAATTAATGCAGCTCAACCAAATCCGGGGATAGTAATACTCAGTGGTATTTGCTTGACATGTCTTTAACATGAAAAGGAAGACGGCCACTGTAAAATTACTTAAACGATAAACTACTACATTTATAAGGAAGATTCAGGTTGTTATGCACTGAAGTGAGGCATCTGCTAAAGTTTCTTAAGAGAGTTTAACATTAGCTCCTGGCCCGTTACTGAATTGGCTACAGTGTCATTTAAATCGTTATCTTTTTGTATGCCCTGTTTTCTAAACACTTTGTTACAGTATGTGTGTTCACATTTGTTAAAATCTGAATTGACTCTGGTCAACGTTTTGGTGGGACTGGAACCTTTGCTATAAAATACAAAAGTTTTCACCTTTCTTTCAATGTGATTTATTTTATGTATTATATATTATTCATTTCAAGTCATCATATTTTGCAGTGTGTTTGTCTGTCAGGGAGAAGACTCACTACTGTCTATAAATATCAGTTTGTGTTTATGCAATGCTTCACCATATCCATTTATAAAGGACCTGAGGGGCCACTTTGGATGGATGAATGTTAGAGAGGCTATGAAAGAAAGTGCTGATGAGTGTAAGAGAAAGGAGAAGGAGATACTGTAGCCTGTGGAGCATATCTGAGCATTACAGATCAATAGTGAAGGGAGAAAGCTAGCTGCCCTAATGCCTGTCCCATCAATTCTTACTCATTACTATTACTATTACTATTATTCCTCCTGTCCTCTCCATTGTTCCTCCTCTTTCCTTATCCTCCGACTCCTTCCACAATGCTGTCAACATGTTGCTCTCACTTCCCCCATACAGTCTACATCCTCTTCATCATCCATTTTTCAATCACTGACATAATACATTTCCCTTACCCCACTGTAACATTAGCTTAAACCTAAGTGTTTCTCAACACTTTGTCTGCACCTCCCCTCAGCAAGTTTCAGGTCATAGCGTTGTCTTCAGCTGCAGCAGGCAGCTGTTATCAGCAAAAAGCTCTAAAGACCCACCGCATGCTACTTCTCAGCACCAAGCAGCAGACATGGAATAACTGGTGACCATGGTAGATCACTTTGTTGATAAAGAACAAGATAGGTGCCTAAGGAGATCAAACACAGAGCTAAAAGGACAGTAGGGTTGGACTTGGATCTTCCAGGTGGTCAGAAGACATGAGGAAAACTCAAGAAAAGACCCATAATATTTAAATTGAGGTGAAACATAAGTCTGAAGTTTTAAGCATGACAAAATTGGAGAACAGGGTTTTAGCATTCCTCTAATTCATGTTCAAATATTCTCTACAAAATGCTTAAGAGTCACAGAAATTGCACATACATAATGTAAAATCACTGAACTAGTATTAGAGTATAGGAAATCACTTGAACAATACACACCTGATTGCTCTAAAATCCATAGCACAGATGCCAAAAGTTTTTTTTTAAATGCAGTGCAGGAACTGAGAAAATACACAACTTATATCATATGTGATCACAGTTTTTTATATATTTTAATTTAAAAGGGCACTGATGTCTTGTGCCTTTTGTGCTGTGGTCATTTTTAAATGATTAGGGTATTATTTATTTATTTAGTATTATTTAAATTATTACAGGATGTGTGACTGTCACATAATTCTTTATTCAACCACTGTACACATTAAAAAGAAAGAAGTCAGTCCCATTACACTATAAGCTCAGACACACACAGAGAAATGTCCCAGCTGGGCTCTCCTCCAGCAGAGCACTCCCTGTTGGTCTGCCTCATTAAATGGAAAGTTTAATCTAGCAATTGAAACAATTAGCTTCCGAACTGTCTTTTTAAAAGCATCAAATAAAGAGAGAGAGAAACGTGTGGTGAACTGTCTACAGTTAACACATCTGTTCTGTCTGTAAGGCCAGATGCCTCTTTTGGCATTGTGCATGAAAGCCAAGCTTCCTTTCCAGCCTTCTCTCTATAACTCCATCCATCTCTCTGTCAGTCCCCCCAGCCACTCATCCATCCATACGGTCCTAAAGGGAAGGAATCAACACTTTGGAAGTCTTGACAAAGTCTGATTTACACTGTAGAGGAGTGGTGAAGGACAAAGCAAGTGTGAAAGAGAAAAGGAGGAAAAAAAACAAGCAAGCCATCCAAACCTTTCAGGGCCTGAGTTGAAATCTAGAGTGTAGCTACACAAAGTTTGAACTAGAAACTTTTCAGTTAAATCAGCTGTGACATGTTTACCTGCTCTTACCTAAAACTCATGGGCAGTTCCTTGCTTTGTTTTGAAGGCAAGGCAGTGTGCACTTTATATCAACTGCTGTCAAAAGTACAGACACAAGACAACTGGAAAATCTTATGACACTTAATCCAGTGTGTTCTGTACTTTTGTTCAAGGCTCTTATTCTTGTATTTGTGAATATCCACAAAGTGCAGTGGCAAGATTACCGCATGTGACTGGACATTAGCTTAAATTTCTCTTCATACAGTCTGTATGGCATGAATGTACAACGTTTCTAAGGTATCAGATAAGTAAAGAGCGAAGTGATAATTTATAATAGACCTTATTTACACTTAGCAACATGGTCTACATATGTTTGAGACACATTTTATCAAGATATATGAACTGTAGACATGAGGAAGCTTAATGCCTCTCATGTAACTACATGTAGTCAATCCATACCAATTATCCAAAGGTGTTAGCTACCTAGCTAAAAACTGCTGCTGTTTTTGTTAAGGTGCACTGACAGATAGGGAAACTAAGATGGATGGATGCAAATAGAACTGTGAACTGGCCAATGGAAATGTATATTTGTGGCTAAATGAAATGAAAAGATATTAAACCACATCTGGGCTTTATCAAGCCATGGGACCTTTGAACAGCCCAGCATAGATAGGGTTACAGATGCTCTGAAAACAAACCCGTTTAGCATGACATCAGTTAAAACAGATACTGTATGAGACAGGAGGAGAGACACATAAGCAAAAAGACAACAGCAACAGTCAGGCCCTTTAGAAAAATATGCCTCTAAATGCATAGCACAGATGTTTAGCTTGCAGGAAGGTTGATGTCTTGTTGAGCAAAGTTTAGCAGGTACAGTACTGAATCCTGCCTGTACTAGGGAGAAATTCCACTGCTAGCACACTGGCAGTCTATTTTGTGTGCAACTTCCTCCAGTAAATGCTAACCAATGTTATTGCTGTAAAGAACAAAGTTTTTTTTCTGAATCAAGATTAAAAAGGTGACAGAGAAACCAGAGATGCCCTGTAAATGAACTGGTACATGTATAAATTAAATGTGGGGAAAGGTTTTACAAAAGTGTTGTTGTTATTGTCTGATTGTGCTGTGCCTTTAGAGCTAAGAATATATCACTATGACAGCGTCAGAGAGATGTCATATCTCTTTTGTATCACAGCTATCACTGATGTCTGACAAATGATGATCAGTATTCCTCCTCTGCCTGTTTGTAGCTTTGTCCTTTGTGAAGTCTGCATTCACCCACACAGGCCCTGTCTGGATGTTTGGTGATTATGTTAGTTAATGTTCCGTGTTCATGTGAATCTGTATTTTTCACTTGTAATTAAGATGTATGCCCCCGCTTTGCAAACAGCTCCCTCTCCTCTTGTTTTCTTCACCTTCCTACCTTAATTCAGTTGATGGCTGTTGGTCTGCCAGTGGCTGATCCCCCACTGAGACAGCACCGGCACAGAGCCTCTCTGTTGGGGGGTGTGACTTTGGGAATCAGACACTCCTGAGCTTGGAGTTTTGACTGGTGGGGTTTGAGGGGAAGCAGGACATGGTCATATGTGCATGTGGGCCTTTATGTGTGATCTATTTTTCAAGGCCAATGCCCTTAAATGTCTTAACCTTAGGAGGTTGAGGAATTCCTTTAAGGTGCAAATATACTGAAGGTCCCAAGCGACCAGATTTAGGGTGAATGAACACACACTTGTGCATTTGTTCATTTCTCCCTTTCGGTTCTCGTGTCTCTGTCACAATGTTGTAACAATGATGGATCTCTATTATCTTGCTCCTCATTGTCTCCTTGGGAGAGAGACAAAGCACCTGTCTACTTATCTTGGCAGCAGTGTGACAACACCTGGCATGACAAAGTAAGATGTTCTCACCTGATTAAGGTGGTTAAATGCGTATGAAGCAGATGGAGAGATCAGAGCGTCCTCTACTGTTAGATCAATTTCCTCTACTGGTATTTTATTAAAGGAAAAGAATGTGATATGATAATGAGTAGTGTGTACTGTACCACGAATGTGTTATGCTGTACCGTGTCTGAGGTCGTGGATGCCACCCCACGAGTCATGTCTAAAACATTGTGTGCATTTAATGATTCTGTTAAGCTGACTATTATTAAGTTGCTGATGGTTTGTGATTGTGTCTCCTGCAGAACGGTCATTTGCAGCAGCGACTGGATAATGTCCAGAGAGACTTCATTGTCTTTAACAGAGAAAAGTAAGAAATCTCCACTACCTTCCTTGCACATTCTCTACAATCAATACTTTGCATCTTTTGTGCAATAGAAACATCTTAACTATCAGTGTTGTGGTGCTAATAATAAAGCCCTCTTAATTATTTTAAAATGTCAATTAGATAAATAAAATATAAAATAAACTAATTCTGTTTGATTGAGGGTGTATAAGGTTAAAAAAGTCTGTAACTAGGAGTAGGTTTCAAGTAAATAAAAAAAATCTGTTCTTGCTGGTGAAAGCATGTAGGATGTGTGAAAGGACACTAATGTGGCTATTTGAGGTAGAGGATCTGGTCCATGTATGTGGGTGTGTGATTAAGACAGAGACATGGCAACTGTCTCCATGTGGACTCTTACTGTGTATGAAATTTAGATGTTTCTGCAAGTAAATCCAGAACTGACTAAATCACCACTGATTTGTTAAAACCATTGTGCTCCTTCCTCATGGAAGGGTGAATCAAGACTAATAGAGCTACTTGACATTTGAATCCAGAAAAAATTAAGTCATCTGTTTTTAAGAAGGGATACTTAGAAAGTAAAATGTATTTTAATAAGAATTTTAAAACTGGGTTGTTTTGGCATTATAAATGGCTTAATGCACAGGCAGGACAAATGTAAGGTAATGGCTGTTATAGGATTAGTGGTTGTAGGAATGGTAAAATGTCTAACATTAGAGGCTATACATGCCCATTACAACCAGAGGTTAAGGTAAAGGTTAAGGTAAAATGATATCATGGCTGTGACATTAAGGTGAAATGGTAAAATAACATTAGAGACTTGTTTTCACTGCTGTGGTTAGATAATTAAATACTACATCAGTAATATTAGCTACTGCATTTTACCCTTTTAAATCTATGGTTAAAAAAATGATAGTCAGTAACATTATCTGCTAATTTTGGCCATCGCATGGCTAAAAGAACTCAGATTGTCTACTTTAGTAAAAGTACAATACCACAGTGTAAAAATAAGCTGTTGATGTATTATTGTGTACATTCCATTTAACGTCGCAGCTGGTAAAGGTAAAGCTAACTGTAACTAACTGTATCTACCTTATATGCTTATAATTTTAATTAATGCTTGTGAATTTTGCACCAAGGATCAATAAATTTTGTGATTTTGCTGTATTTTGTTTTATTAACCTCTTTCTGAAAAGTAACTACAGTTACCAAATTAATCAACTGTGAGTACAAAGTACAATATTTTCCTCTGAAATGTGGTGAAGTTGAAGTAGCAGAAAATGAAAATACTCAAGTAAAGATACCTCAAAACTGTTTTTAAGTACTTGAGTAAATGTGCTTAGTTACTTTACATCTCTGGCTAAAAGACCTGATATTAAACCATCACATGACTTGAGAGTATACAAGCAGAAATAATGAGTAAACGTGAAAACAAGAATGCAAACTGTCTGAAAGGTTATCTGATTTTGACTTAGAGCAGTTTGTTATGCTTTCTTTGGATACTGACATCTGTTCAGTATTAATCAGATGTTCTTTACACAACAGGTCAAGGAAAGCAGTGTCGGCCTCAGAGTCTTCTGAGCTGTCGGTGAGTGAGAAGAACAAGGCAATAGAGGATGGACAGAATAATAATATTGAGCCAGCTGCCTACTTATCAGGATAGGTCTCATGACCAGAGATCTCTACTTATTCCCTCATCACTTGCACCTGCCTAGAGCTTGTAGATCAGCAATTTACACCTACTGTTCTCTCAGCACAGGCACTGACGTTCAGTCTTCAATGTTCCTGCACCACTACTTTGTCTATACAAATGCAGCAATGTATAAACCTGTGCGTCACTGTTCACCCACTAAAACCACATTATCAAGCCCTCCAAAGCTCCAGGAGTGAAATGGACTCCTGGAGCACCAGCCATCAGGGCTGTCTGTCACCAAGAAGAGTGAGTCCCAGCAGAGTGCCACTCACGTCATGTTCCCTCACATCACACTGATGCTTTCAGGTCTGCTCGGCCTCTACTCTGGACAGTGTGCTGAAGTGCAAAGGAGATCACTTCCCAGCCCAAAAGAACATTATGCCATACAGGAAATAAAGTTTCAGCTATGGATGGAAGCTCTATCTGCTGAAGCTGCCTTGAGCGGGACACTTAAGATTTTTAATCTCAGTGAGGCATTTTCTGGTTACAGTAATTACAGTTAAACATAACTAATCTTCCAGTGCTACACTGAAATGGATTTAACAAGAAATGGTATAAGGAACTGGGCTGACAGCATAGCCTGAAAACATCCACTTGGGTGGGTAACCTTGTTCCAAATGATCTACATGACATGAGATTCAAGCATGATACTCACACTACATTCACATTACAGGCCTTAGTGCTCACTTCCAATATTTCTGTGCTGATGCTCACATTCATGTTTGAAAGTGACATGTATCCAGCTTGGGTATGAACACTGTTGAGGTCCTAAACTGCCAGGTGTACACAGATTTAACTGAAAGACATACAAGAATAACAACATTATTTGTCCAGTCAAATTGCAAAATTCTTAAAAAAAAAAAAAAAACTGCTCGGTTACGACATGTCCCTTCCAGTTTGGCTTGATCAGAAGCTTTTCCATAAATGTTCAACAAATGTGAAACGTCCTCATTTCTCAATTGACCCCCATACGTGTCGCTGCTCTCACCTATGGTTATTTTTTAACCAGTCTGTGAGGGTGACAATATGTGCATACAGGCAGGAGATTTTAAAAACCAAAATACACAATGAATTTCAATCTGATCTTCTGACAACAGTCACATGGTCAGGGATCAAAGCTCAAAGAAATAAAAAATCTGATTTGGTTTATCCACACATCTGTGAAAAGATCACGTGTCGAGTCATGTGGAGTGATCACTTCAACATGTAGTCTGAACATAGCATAAGAGTACAGAGCATTAAAATGAAGAGGTTAATACAGTAAAACAAGGCCTTTCCTTTTACAAACACAATAACTGATTCCTCTAAGATAGAAGTCATAGAGCTGAACTGTAGTCTTGAGCTGAATGACTCACTCTATAATAGCAGCAGATACATGGTTGCTAGTCAATATAACAAAGATGGTGCGATGACCCAGCTCCCTCAGCTGCAGATATAGGCAAAACAACCTGCAGGTTTTGACTTTTGTATGATTTAAGTTATTACTGAGTCAGTGCAGAATTCTGGATTGCAGTTAATCAACATTAAGGTCTGTTCTTGACCTTGGAAATTTATATGGAGCTACTTACTTAAGGTTAGCAAATGTGGTTGAAAGCTTTGGGGCACACTAAGTCATTGGACCTTCTGATAAAGGGTTTTGTCAAACTGGTTTTAAACTCCTTTGAAACAATGACATTCTGGACCGTCCTTTCCCTCAGTCTATGTCCTTTGCTTCGGTCTGCAAATGACCAGCTGGGTCCTCAAAGCCATGAAAAGGTAGATTGTAGTGGCAGACGTGCTATGTTCTGCACTGAACCTTCCTTTGCACATGCTTCATTATCACTTGTAGCATTTATGCACAGAGATACACACACAAAAATAAACTTAAACTGTGACTGACTATTTATTCCTTTAGGAATGGTTTTATAGACAAGAATTAGGAATCCTAGATAAGATTCATTTTTCAGTTTCTGTCTGTCTGGTTTGAAATGTGTTTTCGTCCAATCATTTTTAAAGACCTCCCTTTTTTGTGTTAGATACCATTAATTACATGTGCCACCAGATAAGACTGTACATTTGTACTGCAATTAACTGCTCCCATGGAACAAGAATACAGTTGCAGTCTTCTTCTGCAAAAGCATTCTTTATTTGCAGCCGTAATCTCAAATTCAGCACCAGCTGGACAAGACAGTGGTGAAAAAAAAAATCTTAATATTGCTTTTCAATTTTTCATACCCTTAACAAAACAATGATGGAAACAAATCAATACCAGACAAGGCAATACCGCTCATTTATACTGTGAGATTTACCGCAGACTTGGCTACAACCACATCTGAGAAACCACATCTTATACCAGTTGCTGTATACCGTAAATATGGCACACACCTGGTTCCCCATATTATACATGTAGGTAGTAAAACCATGAGCTTTTTCACAGTTAGTAAGTCAATGTGATTTGTAGTAATGCCTAGTCATTCTGTTGACCTTGATCTTACCTATCTGCAATATGACTCAATCCTTTCAAGGCTATAATACCTGTATTTAAAATATATTCCATTCAAAACTGTTGGCACTTTTCTATTGAAAATTGGTACAATCCTTCTGACTTACCTTTGTGTTGTTGATGTTGTTGTCACTGATGTAATTTTACTGATCCAAAGGTGATTTGCTTCAGAAGCTGCAAGATATAGTGGGATAGTTACAAAGATGGACTGATCACAGGTAGACCTAGAGTGAGTAATATTTGTGAATCAATATCTTAATTTGTTAATATATATAGTAGGAGTAACACATGGGTTGGGTGGCATACCTGGCCCTTCCAAAAACTGGAGTTACAGAACAATCACTCCCCCACCCCAAAAAGATTTATAACCGAATTGTTCCATACTGCTGAATTTCACCCCTGTCGAGGTTTTGTTGTCCTTCAGTTGTCACTGTGTGTTTATTATGTAATTAAATGTGATAAATTTGCAAATTAATGTGTGCCTTAAAACAGAACCTTCTTTTCTGAACAAAACTGTCTCTGCCTTGTGGTTTATTTCACTTTGTCTTTCTGAAACTCCACGTTCCTAAATAAAGACCATGAGGGACAGATAATTACTAAAAAGAAATAAAAGTTTTTACCATTGGATTTAAAGAGGGAAGAAGGTCCTAGTCATGGTGGTATCAATTTTCTTTTAATGTGATTTTCAAATAACAAAGTTACCTATAAAACTGTTCTTTCATCATCATGTTCTGCAGTATTGGAAGCTTGTGTATGTACATAATTTTACTCCACACTGATCTGGAACAACAGATACTGTATTTACAAGTGTGTTGGTACTGTAGCTCTCCACTGCCCTAAAGACATAATGCTGCCCTCCAGTGCTAACTGACTAGTAGTACAGTTAGTAACCTTAACTTGCATGTAAAAACTTCACTGAGCCAGAAGTACAAGCAATGAACACATTTTAAATAGGACAGGAAGAGAAGCAGAAACAAAAAGCGTTCCTCATCCCCAGCCTCAGCTGTTTATCTTCACATGGATCAGTAAGGGCCAGGTACTCTCTTTACTCCCAGTCTTATTTCCAGTTGGGCCATTCCTGGATAATGCATCCTCAACATCAGACATGCACCATAAACTCTCTTACATCCACAGTTTACATATGGTGCCTTGCAAAACTATTCATACCCCTTGAACTTTTCCACATTTTGTCACGTTACAACCACAAAAATAAATTTATTTTATTGGGATTTTGTGTGATAGAGCAACACAAAGTATCGCATAATTGTGAAGTGGAAGGAAAATGATATGTGGTGAACAGTAAAAGTATTGACTCGGGGAAGATGAATACATATGCATGCCACACTTTTCAGATTTTTATTTGTAAAAAATCTTGAACACCACGTATAATTTTCCTTCCACTTCACAATTATGCGATATTTTGTGTTGGTCTATCACATAAAATCCCAATAAAATACATTTAAGTTTGTGGTTGTAACATGACAAAATGTGGAAAGGTTCAAGGGGTATGAACACTTTTGCAAGGCACTGTATGTGAGCCCACCGCTTTCTGATATCATCTAGAAGAAGGCACAATCCCTTCTCTCCTCCACCGTGGGCTCACCTGAGGCAGCACTTTTTCACATTAATGGCTCATCTGAGAGGGCTTTTTAATTGATTTAAGCTCCTTCAATCTAGAAAAAAACTTGGTGTATCACATAAATGTTAAAAATATTTACTGTTGTCTAATTGCTGCATACACACAAACATAAGGTCACTTAAAATCACACTTAAGAACTTCCTTATTTAAGAAAGGAAAGGACTGAGTGAACTAATGAAATTATTCTCTCCAAGCATATTTTCTAATTAGTCAGATACACTGCAACCACCACATAGACCACTTTTGTTTAGACTGAGGTTGCTGATTCAGCTCTGTGTCGAGGGCTAGCCTGCAGTTTACAATAGTCATCTCTACCACCTAACAGGATTACTGCCATAATATGAGACATTTAGTCACCATTAAACAATGCATGTGAGACCTTAATGGAGTTACTGGACCTCAGAGTGAGGGTGAGTGTGTGTAACCCCCACTACGTGGGAATAAAACAAGACTGAGTGGATGCTTTATTCAGCCTATGTAGTTACATTTTGTCAGAAATGCATCCTGAATTTTGCAGTGGACTTTTTCCTCAAACAACCCCAGAGGTCATGTGTCATTTAGTTAAATTACTTTCATAATATGGACTCTTAATAGCAATATATCAAATTTAAGCCTATATACACTTCAATATACAGCTTCCATGACAAATAGTGTATGCTGCGGGGAAACCCCTAATAATTGTCCATACTACATAAAAGGTAAGGTAAGAGATGCAACTTACCTTTGTGAACTGCTGGAGATTTGACATTCACTCAAACTACCATTTTAAGTTTGTGCTACATGGACAGGTTCATCTTATAAGTTCATTGTAAGGTTTTGCTTTCCATTCCTCCCTGCAACAGGGATAAAAGAAAAAAACAAAAAAACAAAACACATGTTTATGTAAACCTTCTTTTAGCCCAACAGCAAGGTGCAGCTCCTCCACAATAAAAGCCTCAAAGTAGAGCTGAGCATCAACAGGAAGTTATATTCACATTAATGAGATCTTGACTGCTGAACTTTTTGGCGTTTAATAAAAACACGGGCAGTATATTAACTCCAATTACAGCTGATAAAACTACTGCAGTCAAATAATATATCAGATATTGTGTCTTTATTGTAACATTAACTAGCCTTTAACTTCCACTGCTAAGCTTTTGTCATGTAGGCAGTGACTGTGAGCTAAAACTTTAGCCCCATTCTTAACTTGTTGAAAAATTAAGTAAGCCGAATTCGCTATTAGCAGTTCCCATATGCTATGTACGCAACGAATGTACTGACAACCATCAGTGAATCCATTTGATATTGAAGAAAACTTTAAAATGTTGTGTTTGTTAAGCAAGTTCGGGATTACAACGAGTTTTCTCTGATTTCTAATGGACACTTTTTGCTACAGACAGTTGAGGTAAATGTATCCTTGTAAAATGTAAATCAGACTAAATCTAGAATATGTGTATCGTGTATGTGTGCTCAAAACTGACTGAGTCAGGTTTTCAAGTTGCCTGCCTTAATCACTTCCACAGGCTGCTCCAGCTGCTACTACAGGTGCAAAACAACAACAAGTAGGCAGAGTTAACTCAGTGGCTAAAGCCGGGGCCAAGTTAAGCATAAGATGTTACGGTTTGCTTCTAGATAAGGAAAGGAAAGGAAAGCATATTTCTACGTGCTCACTCCACTGCCCTAAAAGCTACTGAAGCAGTCTTGCAGTGTCTTCCTGCTCATTGCTGCCCCTGATGGCCGCCAGATAGATTGCATCAAAGTAGGAGCCTACTAAACTGTTTCTCTGGGCCATTAATGCAGCTTGTTGGCCATGTGAACTCAGTATTTGTCTTCACATAAGGTGTTTTTCCCCTTACTGGGTTATAAGAATTGCCACTATAGGTGTAAAGCTCTGAGACATTTGAAAGGCACAGAGCTTTACACCTATGCTGGAACAGATGGGGTTAATAGTAAAACATCCAGTGTTGCTTTGATTATGCATGATGCACATTCAACATAAATCTTCCAGCTCTTTCAGTGTTTCACATAGTTTGTCCCAGCTATGACTCACTGTCTAGACTAGAGAAATGAGCTGTCTATACACTATATCTACATTGTGGAAACTATAAAACAGACCAAAAATAGGCAGCAATTCAACCCGATGCAGCCTTGCATGTGTTTTTAATTAAAAAAAAAATATTTAAATGCAAACTGAAAAAGTATAAAGCATATAAAGATTATTTTTGATCATCATTTACATCTCTGGCTATCTTTCCAAAAGAGACAGTTAGGACTATTTATATAAATGTTACCTTTTTATATGATGTTTAATAACAATAATAATAATAAAGAGACACAGAGAGAGAGAACTCACAGTCCATCAGTTACAACTCATGTTTATTCAGGAAACAAATCATACCTCCACAACACACCTTATTTTTGACCTGCCAACTCTGGGTTTTGATACAATAATAAAAAAAAACATAAACCCAATATAGAAGGTTGTCAAACCAACATAAATAAACAAACCACCACTAATGTCTGCCTCAGAGCCTGCCACACCACTGCCAAATAAAAACGACCTCCTTTCCTTCCTCCCCCACACTGAGACAGTGACCAAATAAAGCCTTCCATTACTGCACTGCAATCCTCTGCCTTATCAGAAAAGAGCTGAGACATAAAAAGAACTCCCCCAGCACAATCAGAGTCAGTGTGTCTTAGTTAAACTGAATTGGACCCAAAGTAACATTCAGGCTGATGTTAGATGAGTATCAGGACTCAGGACTGTGTTAGAGGGCTATAGATGATAAGGGGATGTCCTAAAATGAGAGTCCAGTTTCTCAGGAATGAAAAAGTAAAGCCAGAGGTGATGTGCTGTTATCTGAAAGCAGGTTTTTGTTATCATTTCATTTCATTGCATCTATTTTTTTGTAGTTGCCCCTCAACTGCAAAGCTCTTCTTCACAAGTGGAGTTTATTCGTACATCTTGTGAACAGATTTTAGTTTTTCCCAACCATGCTCTTCTCAAGATAATTTCAGGATGACAGAAACAGGCAAAAAGCTACAGAAGCAAATGCAAAGGACAGACTCTTACAAGGTTCTTTTTTTATATAGCCATGTTGGACAGCAAAAAATGGACATAAACCTTTTGGGGATAAAGAACAGCATAATCCTTTCTAATATTTCTTTTTTTTTTTCTATTCATTTGTCATCACAAAAATCTTTTCTTAAGCAGATGTGTATTTCTTTTTTAACAACAATGGGGATGGTATTTATCAAGCACCTCAGAGGAGAGGAGCCAAAGGATCACGGATCACGTCACCCATGTTAATGTGGCCCATGCAGCTCCATGTCCAACATTACTCCTGCTCTAAGATCTGATAGACACCTACACCTTACTTGGTCAGGTAAACCCAAACAGGCTGCAACAACATCATTCACAAAGCTACATTACATCTACTGTATGTTTAATGCCACCTAAAGCTAATCCACGGTACTGCATAATAATACATGGCTAATGTTGGAGCTACTGCTATGTTTTGCTGACTATTGAGAAAGCATGCTACTGAAAAGGGGCTGACAGTGAAAGCCAAATAAGATGAAAGAACCATAGCATCATTCTGAGAAAAGTGGTATCCGTTTTCCTATGGGAACAGTTTGTTTCCTCTATGGGTTCAATATGGTGGCAGTTTTACAGGTGTTTTTTCTGTTACCAAAGCACTAAGTGGACATGTTTTCACTGTATGTGTAAAGAATTCTGTACTGAGAAAAACTGAGGCTAAGATGGGTTATGTGTATCGTGCTTTGGTAGTAACTTTATCCTTTACTAGCAATTCAAACCACTTCAATACTCTGCTCTGGTCCAAATTCCCTAGGAAAAGGGATACTGTTCTCATCTGAGCAAGGTAGCATTGTGACAGGTAAGGCATGAGGATTCAGTGTTTTGCTTTTTAATCACTTAACTAATCATGGTCCTCTTCATCTTCTCCCCCCTCCCTCCCATTCCCTTCTCTCCCACCCTCAATCTTGCACTCTGGCTGTTTTGTGGATGTATCCCCTTGTCTTCATTTAACTGAGGGACGTGATGTTGGACCGGCCACCAGGGGGCACTACAATACGCCGGCCAGCAGGCCTGGTGGGGGTGTCATCTGGGGTGGGGGGACCTGAACAGAAAGACAAGGGGATAAAGATAAAGTTGCAATATACATGGAAAAGGAGCCAACAGCAAAAAAACACAAACTTGTGCTGTTCTGAGGCAAAATGAACACAAAGAAATTTAGTAAAACCTGTAAAGATGGGATTTAAAATTGGAAGTTAATGCTACTAATGACATTTTCATAAATATCTTGTCTTTGCACAGGACACAATGAGAAAAAGGGAAAAGGGAATCACACAGAAAAAACAGAGCGTTTGACTAAGAGTTAATGGACACCAATGTAACAAAGCCGTACCTTTATATTAACACGTCCTGTGATCTTTTACTATATAAAATCAGGATATGATTTTTTTTTAAAAGTCATGTTAATAAATCCCATGGCAGACCTGTAGTTCTGCTTTTTTCCTATCCTCTGGAAACTAATACTGCTCTCATCTGTCAATCTTTTCAGACTTTCTCAACACAGAGTAGCTTTTATGCTGTCATAACACACGAATAACTGTTGACATATACTCACATTATTACTTTCCAGGCCTTAGAGGTTTTTTAAGACACATTATTATTGTCTATGATATACAGTATATATAACTAAAATGACAGGGGAATGTGAACTTCAGCAAACCATGTGCTGCTCAGACATTTAATAAAAGAAGCTACAGTTTGACATAAAACATGCTGTTTCCAGAGGATGAGCCAGGGAGTCTGCTGTAACAATTTATCAGCAAGTATATAAATGGAAAGTAAAGTGATGTCAGACTACAACACACTGAATCTAAGCAATCATTAAAATCTCCTTTCCAGACAAGAGAATCAACTCTGCAGGTGGTGGCCCTGGAAAAACTAAAATATACAGGAGACTGACTCATTCAAAGAGTACGCACACATATGCTTAAACACATAACCACTATGAAGCCTGAGAAACCAGCAGCAGCCGTACTCGCCTTCGTGTACTCAAACGAGAAAATTCTTTCCAGCGGAGGTCACCTTCTCTTTATGATAAGGTATCACACATCAGCTACGCTTGTAAAGACAAGCTGCCCAATACAGGCAAAGACTAAACACCATTCTGGAGATTGTTCTTTCAAAATAAGATTATAAGTTACCAGTCATGAAAACTATTCACAAAGACTGGTGATGCCTTGGTGAATGCAGCTGCCCTCTGTGTAGGTTAAACAGGGTCGCTCCTATTAATTTAAGGTTACAAAAGGACACATTTAGACTGTCAGGGAGGACATAATGACTAGCTAATAGTTTCTCTGTTTTAAAAACAGTGGAAAAGCTGACTACCTGGTTCATGATTTAACCATGTGTACAACGTTTCACAGTTTGGTACCCTGACAAAAATAATTTCTCACATTTGTTTTCTAAATCTAAACTAATCCAGTGCTGAAGTTACACATGGGCACATTCAATCTGTCACGCAGCAGCTCTGCATAATGGAACAGATGTTGAATGGGAATACATACAGTAGTGCTGCAATCTCTCACATTAGATAGGCTTTCTTGATTGACCATGTCCAGATGCCTGGCCTGAAATCTTGACTGCTGTACAATTTAGGCCTTGAGCCAACACATATTCTGTGCGATTTACAGTTAAGTGTGAGTTTGGAGAAAACCTCACTTCCTACTGTGGTGTAACATTTACAAAGAGGGCTATGGTTAGAGGCCTCCGCGTCCTGAAGAGCCCTCAGAAGCCACTTATTTGAGAGGTGTGAGATACTCAGCAGGAGAAAGGGACTGAATATGCATGAGGATGAGTCATTAGAGAGAGAGTGACTGGAAGATTAAACTAAGATGTTTCTGAATAGTGCAAAATACACGCTTCATATAAAATACAAAAGTTTAAACACAAGAAAACTAAAAATACATACATAGAAGGAGTGCAGGATAATAAAACCCATCATTTGCTTAGTATAGTGTGCATAATACAGAAATACATAATGTACTGGACTTATAAATTGAATGGTAATTCATCTAAAAACAATGTTAAATGTAGTTCACATCTTAGATGAATGTGAGTCAGAAGGACACTTTGTATGATTTAAATTGCGGGTAATTTTTGGTTGACTTCATGTCAAACCACACTAAAGCAGCAACTGAAAAACAGCCAACTTTCACTGACTGTGCACATAATGCTGTTTGTATTGTGACTCAGTGAAGCTAATGACAAGCATAAACAGACCAACTGTCATATAAACACTGTGTAGCTCCTTTTACAAAGGAACGTGATAAGCAGCAGACAAATGCATGCAACACTGTGCACGTGAAATATGAAATAGGATAAAGACAGACTACGAAGTTACTTAACACAAGACTGTAAATGCATCATTCATGAAGAGCAGCAACATGCTAAAATCACATGACTGCTGTACTTCACAGCAGTTGAGTTGAAAAGAGTAAGGATGGGATGCAATGGTGGATCAGCTAATGCACATGGATGCTCCTTCCTACATACACAGTATAACTCAATGCAAACCAATAGCAGGTGAAAGGAATGACTGGGTAATAACAGAGATCGAGATTGTATTAAGAAGCTAGGCTCACCACATGTCGCAGGGTTACCTGCTAGACTAAATCCAGACTGGTGCAGGTTTCTGACAGGCTGTTTGGTGGGAGAGGTACGTGCCGAGGCCGAGGGGGTGCCACCACGGGACATGGAGAACTCAGACACAGGACCGTCGTACATTCCCCTGGGCACTGCCCTCAGGACCGCCAGCTACAGCACAAACATCAAGAACAGACATGAAGGTGGTAAACAGGTAGAAGAAGAAAGGATGGCTACAGAAAAAAAGACTATGGCATTTAGTACCACAATAGCTTAAATGTAACCAAGCCACAGCTGTTTGGCATTAGATGGTTGTTTGTGTCCAAATTATATATGCATTTTTCAGGAAGCCTTTTCCTTCCGCCAGCTCTAGAGTTACATATGGACAGATGCACATTCACAAGTATGCAAACTCTTTTATAAACTGGAGCAGAAAACCCCAACATACAAAATTTGTATGTTTTAAAAGTAAGAAACTTTATGTTGTTAGAGAACAAGCCATTGTCTGTGTGTCTGTGTATTAGTGGGGCGACTCAGTTGGGTGAACCTTGGAAGCTCTGTGAAGAGTTAAAAAGAGACATCTGTGAATGAAGAAAGCACAACAGTGTCGGCTACCAAGACAAACAGCACACTGTTAGCTCCATTTTCTCATCGGCAGCCAGTTGCAAATGACATTTATAAGTCCAGAAGAAAGATGGAAAAAGGGAAACTGGGTCCCATTTCAGATTAAGCCATTATAAATGAAATGGTTAAACCAGGTAACTTCTCATATTTTTAATTTATTCTTAATACTTTGCTAGGAACCTCCTTTTCAGTTCCTTTCTCCCTTGCAAGGCACATGTACTTAATAATGGCCCTAAACCCCTCAACTACCTTGTGGTCGTCATGTAATAAAAGAGAAATAGCTCCTAAAAGGCTTTCAGAATCAGTAGTCCTGTGAGATCACAGTAAATTGTAAAGATGGGACTCATGTGTAACTGTAGACTCTGGTAACCCTTTCACTGTGTGTGGTATGTCTCGATGGAAAGTGAACCCAATCCAAACTCGCTGGTTTTAAAATGCTGATGACAAACCCTCGACCACCCTCACTGCGCGGACATTTAGCGTGGTGAGCAGCCTGTGGCTGAACCTTGGAGGCTGATGTCACACTTACAGTACTGTTTCTCCCTCACATCCCACTCCACTACCTCTACCTCTCCCACTCTCTTTTCTTTCTGCCACCATACCTTGTGTCTTCACCCAAACCCACTTATCATCCAAAAGACCTCCTACAGTGAGCTTATCTTACTTCGTCATGCACAGTGTGTGTCACTTCATAGTTATGATTATTATCAGAAGCAACAAATATTCTCCCATAGTGCTCATTTTTATTTAGACAATATCTTTCATGCCAGCAGGTATTATTGTAGCATTTTTGGCACTGTATTTACCGTACCATAGCTCACCTGCAATTTCATTTGTTCTATGATGGCTTGCATGTACCCTCTGTTGAAAAAATGTCTGTAGGCAATGAATTCTGTTCATATATATTCAGCAGTTTAACCTAAAATTTTAATTGAAAATTGTAAGGGTAACTTGATACTGTACAATATACAGTATGAGAGTTTGCCTTTCAAAGAGGACAGACATTAACACACTGCAAAAGATCTGACAACTGCTTCAACAACATGATTGCTGTGTAAGGTGTAAAATAGTAGGCCAGGCAGTATAAAGCCTGTAATCACCTGTTTCCTGGCTTTAATACGCTTGTAGGCATAGTCAGGGAAGGGTGAGCAGGGAATGAAGCGGCCCACGCCAGAGGTGACATGCAAGTTCCCATCTTCCAGAACAATCTTCCCCTGGCAAATCACCACCAGCGGGGCTCCACGCAGCTCCACGCCCTCAAAGACATTGTACTCAGCAGCCTAAAGCACAGATATACAGGTATTAGATGTTTGTTGCAGCAGCACTAGGGGAAGTATAACTTCAGAAATGAAGAAAAATGTTATAATCACACAGCAGTAGTCACTATTACTCATTATAAATGAGACAAAATAAGTATTGTGCTTACAATAATACATATTATGTGTAAAGGAGCGCAACACTAATATAAGACATCTGTACATGTAATTGACATTAATGTACTCTCACAAAATACAGAAATAAACACAAAAAACAGGGCATATGACAAAAATAGAACAAATTCAGTTTAAGATTGATGCAATTAAAGGGCTCTAAGACAAGATACACATGTTTTTAAAAGCAACACTGAAGCATATGTATGAACATGTGCTTCAATCCCACTAACAGTCGCAATCAGCAGAGTGGAGTTTATTCATTATGTGAGTTTATGACACAATGCCCCAAATGACTGTAAATTACATTAAATTGGATGGGTTATCTTAAGTTTGAGAAAAAGAAAAACAAGTCCCCTGTACCCTCCTGATGAAATAAGGGAGGTGAAGAGGGCAACAACAAGGGGAGCTGTGCAATGGTGAAGAGATGAACTTTCTCTCTCCTCTACTCACTTAATCCCTCACTCCTTATCATTTATCACCTCGCTTCTTACACTTGTTAGTTTGGCATGTGCAAACAGCTGCCACAACCCAGCTGCTGTCTGATGCCTCTGTTTCCCTTCCTCATTCTCTCTTTCCTCATGTTGCTCTTTCCAGTTGTCTGTCTCCTTCATCCCTTTATTCCTCTTTGTCCCCTGTCCATTTTAGCTTGATTTATATAATCCCTTTTCTTTTTTATATCTTGTGCCCTACTCATCCTCTTCCAATTTCCCTTGTGCCAGTTCTTTTGACTCGACATGTTTGTGATCTGTGATGGTCCCCTCCCCTCGTTCCATTGTTATTTATTTCCTCTGCACACAGCCCTATTTTCTGCTCCAAATTCAGGTCAGAGCAGAACATAACTGAGACTTACCACATGCCAAACATGATGTCATGGCTAAGCCCAGTGTGTCTAAGGGTGTGTGTGTGTGTGTGTTCCCTGTTCTTGTTTGTGCCCATTCTATGTATTTTTATGTTGACAACAACAAGCAATCCAGACTGAAAGTGGACTTACTGATAACAAAGACACAGCACAGTTTACTGTATAAAGGAACACATTCCCCAATGTTATGTGCTGGTAAACAGGGCCGCTGCTGTTTGGCCTAGCATCAGACTATCCATTAAGGCAGATTTACTGGAGCTGGGAGCTGCTGAGCTCTGGTGCTCTGCTTTCCTGTGTTATTTTATCTGGAAGGATGAACAGCAGGAAATGAAAGGGTGACATCATTATGTAAGAACCCGGGGATATTCAGTGGATGTTCTTCACATTTGGACAAGGCGTATTATTAGTCCAGTTCTCCTTGTTTCTTTCCATTCCTCCATCTGGAGACAAAGCAAAGTTCTTTCTCCTGTTTCTTATTGTAAATGCATTTAATTCTGTAAAAGCATGACTTGTGCAAGGCTGGTAAAGCCATAATTTCCTGTGTGGACATGTCCTCTGCTGCTGTGTGACCTCTCTGGGATCTGCTAAATGCCTGTGTAATGTTAGAATTACTCACATGTGCCAGACGTAATGTACACACAGTGTGTATGTTTTGTAAAATGTGTGTGTGGGCGAGTAAGAGAGAATGTGTGTGTTGCTGTGAGGCCCTTGTCATCGACCTTCAGAAGACAAAGAACATCTGCAACAGGATAATACAGTATCACATATTTCTAATGTAGTTTCACTTGTTTCTGTCTTTAACTCTGAACACAACAGTTGACAAAAAATGCTCAGTTTAAAATGTCAAAGTTACTGAATCATGTTGCTCTGACAGTTTTAAATTCATGTTATGATCCTTTCTATAAGTAACTTCATAATCTGGTGTTTGTTGCAACTAATGGTTCAGACTGTCAGTAAAGAAATAATGTGTTGAAACTCAGTGATCAGCTACATGCAACACAGGCCAGACAGAGCTTGAAAAAAGTAATGTTACCAGGGGATGAATTTACTTTCAAATTACTTTCTTTGTAAAAGGAAAGGAGTAACAGCAGACAAAGCTTTTCTGTTACATATGCTGCCAAACTGCAGCCAGATCAATACATTTTTCCAAACACTAATATTCAAAAACTGGACAGTCTTCCAGCTGCAATTTATTATCAGCACCTTAAACCCTGACGCCACAGGGCTACAGGCAATATGTACAGATGTTCCAAGTCTCTGGGATTTGAAGTATTTGAAATATCGTCATTTACTGTAACGTAATCCTGTGCGGTGACTGGCACTCTTCAAAACAATCATGGGTTTCCCATCATGAGAATGTTTTTGATGATCAGTACAACTAAATGTGATATAGACAAAGGAAATGCCTCCTGATTATACTGCACATAGATCCCCTGTTGTTTGGCTGTAGTTGAACTGTACAGGGCATTTTGGAAAATGTTGGTATCACAGGCAAGATGTTTTTTGTATTTGAATAACCCATATTTTTCCAAATCTAGCTGAGAAATGTTTTAAGTAATAAAACTCAACTCTGCATTGAAAGCGGGTCAAGTGGTGAGTCGTGTTAGTAGTGAAGATCCACTGAGACTTCATTTCCGTTCAGAGGAACTGAGAGCTCTCTGGCAGCGGCACAAAAATGTGCTCGCTCTCCCTCTCTCTCTCTCTCCCTCTCACTCTCCGGCCCTTGCACACATGCACGCACAGATGCAGGCGCTTATCTCATCATATTCTGCTTTACCCTTTCCCTAAAAATCAAATCCTTTTATCTCTTCCACGTCTTCTATTTAGTCAATCACATTTCATCTGCACATAAAAAAAGGTTTGCTATGTTCAATTGAAACAACAGCTTCACTACTTTAAATGTTAATGTTCTGTTAAAATTATTTCCAGCTCAACTGAACAGTAGAGTGAAACCAGAGCAGGAGAAAAGAAGAACAGGGGGGAAAAATGCTGCAAGTTGTGAGCTGGATTTAAATGAAACATGAAACAAACACTAATACAAACATTGGCCTGTGCACCCAGTACATACCGAGTTGTGCGTCTTGGCAGTGATGGTGCGGATGGAATCTGTGTCCCAAATGACCAGGTCAGCATCAGAGCCCACGGCGATCCGACCCTTACGAGGGTACAGGTTCAGGATCTTTGCTGCGTTGGTGCTGGTGACGGCCACAAACATGTTCTCATCCATTTTACCTGTAGTCTGGGAAGCAAATCAAGGCAAAAAACAGAAATAGTGAGGATTTGTCAAAGAAGGATGACTGGGCACTGGATAAATACTACAACAGTAGCCATTTCACCTCATATGGAAATGAGTTTCCCTGTAGATAGATTAGCCATAAAGTCAGATAGATGCAGCTCTAGCTGGATTTAAATCACAGCCTCCTTTCAACACATAAATACTTAAAACGCTTCAGATGCTGCATCTTCCTTATAGTTAATGATTTATTTAATGGGTTTTTTCTCAATCAAGCAATCAATTATAAATGACCTGACAACACATACTATGATGAAGCTATTTAAAAAGACGCCATAATTTTGGCAGATACAATTATCACCTTCTTGCCAAGAGTTGGAGGAGAAGATTCATACTCCTTGCGTGTCTGAGACTGGGGGAAATAAACTGCTGAAAAACTATGCCCTGAGGAAAGGCACTCAGTTTAACCTTTTAAAAGCACACTTTCATTTTACAAGCAGCACAACACTCCATAACCGGCTGTTAGCTGAACACTGATGAAGTGATAATGAAAGAATGAGAGTGCTGGACCCAAGGCTGAAGAAAAGGCAAGATGTGCAGATACCAAACAACTACAAAGGAAGACAGAGAGAGTAACAACAAGACAGAGGGGGGGGGAGAGTAAAACCTGAGAAAAGAAGAGCATCCTTGGGGGAAAAGGTTAAGAGCAAGTGAATCAAGATGACAACAGAAAGTCTAGAAAATGTCTTCATATGTCCTTCTTCCAAAGTTTTAAAATGGAGAAAGAAAAACTTAGGCAGCCCTCACCACAGCTTTATCCCAGATCAGAGACATCCTCTCCTCCACTCCATTGACACCTTCTGGGATCTGAGTGAAGTCATCCTTGCCGATGGCCTTCTGGGCCACACTGAAGGTACAGTGAGCACTGCCCGTCACGCTCAGGTCTCCACTGGGCGACAACGAAACACAAAAACACAGTATTAAGATGGACCAGCACAGCACATTCTGTGTACACAAGCTAAGTTCCCCGACCACAAGGAAGTTGTTTATTTACTTGAGCAGCAGAGCCACAATAAAACAGAACAAGGACTGGGAGTAATTTCAGCGCAAACCGTCACCGTTTACTGTTTCCATATGGCACTCTAAGGCCACCAGTTGTGCGGCAACTGCTGATTTATCATAAGAAAGAAAAGCAACTGAGCAACACACAAATTTAACAGTCAAGACAGTTACATTTTTTAAATCAAAGGTAACTTTTGTGCACATGTAGATGTATAGAATAGGTGTATAGAAAAACAGAAACGGTGACAAATTTAAAAAGTATGGTCACTCATTTATTATAAGCTACACTGCTATCCCTCATTCAGCACACTGCCTGTGTGTAGGAGCTTATGTATGACTGGTTTTTCCCTCACTGTAATGGGGCAGCTAAGGAGGAAAAAGGTACAGAGTAGAGGCATTGTAATTCAATTTGTCATGATTTATATTGTTATTCTCATGAGTTAGTTAGTGCACATGTAAATTGAATATTTAATGTTGTGATTCATTTAACACCAGACAGTTTGAATAGGAATTTATGGATGAGTGACTACTGCTGCACATGCACTGTATCTCAATTTGCCTTTTGTTGCATTTGGACACTTTAACAGCATAAGATTATTCAGTAAAGATTATACAATTGATGAATGACCTAATGCCAGCCTTACACCTAACAACTTTTCAAAAGATTTCATGTCACAGACGAATTCTCAACATCCAAATAAAATCATGAGTCTTGCTACAGTTGTGTCGTGCTCGTGTCATCTCAATTTTTTGGTGTAAGGTGGTGATCTGAACAGTTTTAAGTCTTTTTCTTGCCTTGACGTTATGATAAAATCAAGCATTATCGTAAGTCTTTAGTCTTGGCTCATGCAGGCAGTGACGTGAACACTGTAAACAACCAATAGGTGAGCCCTCTCCAGCACCAAACAGGAAGCAGTACAGCAGGCACAGAAACAGCAGTAAATAAGATGGAGACTCTGGTAACTCTGTGCCTCAGAAGGCACTGTTCTGTTGGACTGTTACAAAGGAAGAGAAACTGCTGGATCTATGGAGTGAGCAAGAGTGTCTGTCTGACATGTCATCCAATGAGTACCACGACAGAATGAAGAAAGAGATATGATCTGTACCTGGAGAGCAGCGTGTTCAGATAGTCTGGAGTGGTGGGATCAGGGCTGAGAGGCGGTGATGTTACAAAAGAAGCAGCCTTGGCCCAATTCTTGCTCCAGTAATGTGTCCCATCAGTCCCCAGGCTGGCTGTGATCGGCTCCCCAAACACAACATTTCCTGGGACAGAAATAATGGTAAAAATCTGTTAAGGGATCAAATATAAAATGTATCAGATTGATTTATTTTTGTGACCCAGCATTTTCATAATCATTAGTTACATATAATCAAGGTGGACAAATTTATCATCTATTTAATCTCACTAAAAGCTCTGGTAATTCATCTGCATGCTCGCAGGAGAAGAATGATGCCAAATCTTTAAAAAGCCAAACGTCACCCTTGGCAGTGTACTGTACAAATTTCACTTTGGCTCAGTTGTAGTTGTAACTCGTTCTTCCATCCATGATGAGCCAGGTTTTGATTCCTGTCACTTGCCTTTTTTCATGGTCCTTTGCTCTCACACCTCACTGTTCCACATCCTTCCTGCTTTAGATGTTAGAGTTTAGGAACAAATCCAAACTAAGGTGTCAAGCATTAATGGCACCTAATGTACATGAATGCATGACAAAGGCCTTCTGAGGTCAGTGCCCTCCTGTTAAAACCTTATGTGACTTCTCACCACAGATATTTCTGCCCTCTCCCATTTTCCTGTTCCATTCTTATAAATTGTATATTTCAGAAAGCATCACAGCCAAGAAGCTGCTCTTTACTGCGACTGTGAGGTATGATCTGTGTGACAGCTGAACCACAAAAAAGACCTAACTGTCAAAGATGAATATTTCTCAGAGAATAGCATTATCATTGTGCCAACCAGAACCACAGTTTGTGTGCATCTGCAGCCTCAGGAAAGACAGTAAAATCATCTCAAAGTGTATTCGTGTTTGCATTCCGAACTTCAAAATCAGAAAATGGAAACCTATGAGTAGAGGAGAAACAGAGCTACAAAATTACTGTATATAAATAAAACCTGTGCATGTCTGCAGATAGGAACATTTCTGACAACCACTACATTGGTTTTTGTTTTGTTTTGTTTTTATAATGAACCTGATGCTCACTGGAAATAAACACACAGTTTACAATATTCTGCAATGTGCAGTGGAATCTAAACACTCTACCTTTTTTTCGGGCCTGCGAGATGATGTCAGCAGCACTCTTGCTCATAACCCGGGTCACATAGAGAGGACAGTTGGTTTGGCTGGCGATGGTCACAGCACGAAACACTGCCTCCGCCTCCAGCTACAGAAGCAACAGGAGAGTGAGGCTGATTCAGAAATGTTGGTCCCATTAGGATTATGTCTTAACCACAGCAAATGATATAGTTTTAGATCCATGTTATTTGAATAATTCATTTTAAACCAAAATGACCAAAACCAAAATAGAAGCATATTTACATTCTATATACACATACAGTGCCAACACAAAGCTAATATTCACTGAAGGAAAGTCACAGAAAATAAAACATACAAGACATTAAAACATCAAAACACACAACATCTAAATCAAAATTATAGATTTGTCGTTGAATAAATATACAGTAGTGTGCAAAAGTCTTTGTCATTGTTAGATTTGTTGTTTTAGCAAGGTTATGATGACTGTATATATTTATTTATCCGAATGCAACTGGAAAATATAGGAAATATGTACACGGTATTAAAAAACATAAATATGCAAACACAGTGGTTACTCCAGGTGTGGTATTCAAGGTAAAGAAATATAAAGAATCCAGAGAGGTTGAGGACAAAAACATGAGTGGAAGATCAAGAAAACTGTCAAACTCTAATGAGAAGTTTCTCAAAGTTTCTTCTTTGAGGGATCGGAGGAAATCCAGCAAAGACTTGGCTCAGCATCTGGCAGCTTCAATTGGTCCTCCCACAGTCCAAAGAAGCCTGATCAGGAATGGTCTCTGTAGAACGACTGCAGCCAAGAAACCACTTTTCAGAAGGGGGACAGGGAGAAAAGGCTGAGATCTGCAAAAGCTCGCAAAGACCTGAGTGAAGATTATTGGAGAAGAGGATTATGGAGTGATGAATCAAAGTTTGAAATGTTCAGGTCCAGTCGTTGATTGTAGCGCAGCTTGAATTTTTTTGGGGGAAACTGTCTTGAAGTCTTGAAACCATGATAGACCCTCCACCATGTTTCACTGAAGGCTGCTACACTCATCTTTCACCTCTCTCCAGCTATTCTTCTCACATACAGTAAGTATAAAGGGGGGGTCGCACTAAATACTGACTTTGGACTGTAGATTATATTATATTATTATTATCCTTATTGATTAGAAGCCATTTTGTTCTGAATATTTAGTGTTTTTCATTATTATGTACATATTTTTTGTATTTTCTGGTTATATCTTAATAAAGAGACTGAGAAATAATTATAAATTATCATTGCAACCTTGCTAAAACAGCAAAACTAATCGTGGCCTAATACTTTTGCACAGTACTGTAACTGGCTGCTTAAATGTTGTTATAAAAGATTGTGCGCTTAAAATCATTTAGCATAATTAGAGTATAGGTGCATGTGTGTGTGGTACCTCTTCTGGCCTACTCAGTACGTGGCCCTCTGGTCCAGTGATACCCATCTGCAGCATGCGGGCCTGCTCCTGTTGAGCAAATCCACAAAATAGACAAAAAGTAGGCTGATTGCTGTTCAGCTCATCGATACTGTACATGCAGGACTGACTTTGTTGTCACTGGTTTGACATCCTCGGCTGATGTAAAGTGTTTAGTCACACTCCAAAATGATATCCAGCACTAAACACCCTGATGTACAGTGTAACTCTTGGTATTTAACTGTCACTTGGTTATAAGATGTTCTTTGTACCGACATGAACAGCATTCATCACACACAGGTCACTGTCTCAGGAGGTCATGAAATAGTCTTAGGGGTTAGGACATTCTTGGTCATAAAGCTGATGCAATTTAGACTCCTTCAAAGTCCTTCTTTAAGACTGAATAAAGGAGCTGGGATTTGTGATGAATCTGATCCAACAAACACACACAGTGACAGAATCCAGGCACGGCCCGGAGCTCTGACTAATACCAGCCCTTTAAGTCTACCGGCTATTACAGTCACATTCATTTGTCCACAATATGGCACAGCCCTTTATAAACTACACCCACACATTACTGTCATACAGGAAACTCTCTCTCTCTCTCTCTCTCTCTCTCTCTCTCACTCTCTCTCTCTCTCTGTCTCATCAGTGACAAGGTGTTTAGTCTGTAGGTAGTGGAGATGTGCTGTGATAAGGCTCAACCAGACAGGTGAACTATGCTGAAATAAATCACACTAAACTGAAAGAGTTGAACATGAGACAAGTAATATGATATAGAGTAATAAAGAAAATGAGGTGGGGGGAAAAAGAAAAGCAAAAAATCATCTTTATTGTTACCTCAGCAATGATCTCGCCATTTTCAGCATGGACCTGAGCGATGCCTCCCCTCTCTGCCAAGAAGGTAAAGACCTCATAGAGCTGAAGGAGAATGGCAGAGAAATGGTGAAATTACAGTGCCACTGTTTTTCTATTTTAAATCCTGCCTAGCTGTGTACACAAGAAGAAGACGCTCCTTTTAACTCAGGGATTAACTTTAAGCCACAATTTAAAAGAAGCCCACAATTGACATGATACCTAAGACGACACGCTGCAATTATTTTCTGTGGTTTCTAGAAACAGTTAAACTCATGTGGGATGAGCTGGAGTTATTGTTATGATGCTGTGCCGCAGTTCCTTAGTGATCTGCATGACATCAGCTCTTCAAGCTGAACTGTTTCAGTCATCTCGTGTTCCTCTGACCAACCAAAATTAGCTATGGCTGCATGAGAAACACGAAGAGTCCTGCCTCACACTGTCCAGACACAGTACATTACATTAAACATCAATATTACATAGGAACTGGTTATTTCCAGGAAGAAAACAAGATTAATGCTTAGCTGAGGCTATGCTTGATGTTACCGAGTTGTGAATTTACCAGCTGAAAGTCATAATGAAGTCACTTTTCTGACACTGTGTCACCGCCTAGAGAGAAACAGTTGCTGTAATTTCATGCTTTTGTCCGGCCAAGTTTTGTTGCAAATCACCATGGAGAAATTTTCATGTTTATATTTGCTCTTAATTGACTGGTTAAATAAGATCATCAGAATTCAGTTTCACACTGAGTGAAACCAAGACAACACACATCTGTAGTTCAGACACATGCTGTACCACACATGAACTGTATGTGAGTGTTTACATCCAAAATGTTAAAATATGCACTAGAAAGATTTTTTGTACCTCACTGTTACTCATCTGGTAGTAGTCCTTGTAGGCCATGTAGACCTGGAACGAGTTCACACCTGAGAACATTAAAATAAAATGTAAACAATTATGCTAAATAGGAAAAGCGTTGTTGTAAAAATCAATTAATCTCCCATATGGTCTATGGTTATGGTTGGGCTCTTAAAATGTGACTTATGTCTAGTCTTGCAGCCTCTTTTCATACAGTGATTACTGCATAATGATTTGTCTCTCTTCCCAACATGTTATTTAGCATTATTTTGATGTTTAAATTGAATGTTTACATATTATCACCTGTGTTTGTGATGTATTTGTGAGATGCAGATTTTTAACCACTCGAACTGCAGTTATAACATTTTGGAAAACAACAAAAAAGGGAAGAGTTTCATTTTATTGTCATTTAATTTTATGTGTCAGTTTCTCCTTTACCCTAAAACCACTGTCTTTATTTATAACGAATGTACAGTACTACTAACTTAAGTGTCTTTATAAAGAAAGAGCTACAATTTTTCAAAAGTAATTTTACTTAAGAAAACTGTTACTGAGAAAACTAAACACAGTCAAGTCTGCTACTGAAGCCTACCTTTCTCCTTGATGAGGTTATCCACCTCCTGTTTTACGCTGTCGTTCCAGTGGGTGATGTCCACGTGGAGGGAGTAGTCGCAGCAGGCCTTTTCATCAGCCCACTGCCTCCAGTGGTCATAGGCCTCCATCAGGCTGTTACCAGGCTCTGGGATCACATGGTCCACTGAATGACATGGACAGTGGAGGATCGGGGGTGCAGGAATGAAAAAATGAGGGAAGGATGAAAGAGGGTAAAGACAAGTTTGTAGGGAGAAACAGATTTTAGGAGAGGAAGCCGGTGAGGGATGTAAAGAGGAGAGATGGCAGATAACATGAGATAAATAGATAAAGCGACAAAATGGGGTGAGGATAGACACATAGGAAAATGAAAACATTGTATTGTTTATCTTGCACAATCAGCTGTTTGTCTGAGCTCCTGCTGTGCTCAGCCACTGGGGACCAACCTGTCACATTACATTCTTAACTTCTTTGTCGGGGCACTGGTGTCCTTAACAAATGTGGGGACACTTCAACTATAGATATTTTCAGATTGGTTCTAGTTATGGAACCACAATCAATTGAATATGTTAGGGTTTGGTACCTAAAGACACTGGATCCTTCCATCCCAGGTGGTGTTGTAAGTTGCTTGTGGTGAATGTAATAGCACGCAACATATGCAGTTTCTTGAGTTAACGCATTTAGTGTATTTTATTCATCCAATGGAAACATAACATTTCCTGTAATATTTAGCTGAAACTTCAGTTAGAGTTGCTCCCTGTGTTACTACCTACAGGTACTGTATATATACTACTTAGCTGTGCAAAAGCAATGACAAGCAAATAAGTGTTGCTGCTATGGACATAAAAATTACAACATGGATTCTGATGTGAATCCATACCACTGAGAAGAGGATTTATGGTCTTTCAACAAAAATGTTCATGGACAAAATACATCCTCACCTTACACAACAGTATCACAGTGCACTAAATATCCCACTCTTCTGTTCACTGTCACACAAAGACCACATTATATATTAGTGGCATGAGATCCTGACAATATACAAATAAAACAGGCAGATATAAACCACAGTACACGTTTTTGCTTTCTCTCTTAAACATTGCCCATTGGAATTTAATCCCGTAGTGTTTGGAGCCCCTGAATAAAGCTTACTACAGTAGCACACCTGTTAGTGATTGTGTTGGTAGAGCAGCACGGGCAGATAACCAGCACAGTAGCAATGAGCTCAAAAGAAGTGAATGGTATTAATGAGACTGTGGTATCTGCCAGCTGTTGGCTGGCAGATACACAGGTCCCAAACTAAATGAAGCACACAAACACACACATATAAAGCCACACTGTGTGCAGAATAGCATGAAGACACACACTGGTGCTCTATTTCTGTGGGAGCTGGGTTGCCCCTCCCCAATTCTACCCCCTTACACTCAGTCTTTTGTATGGTCCTTTTTTGGAGAGTTGCCCAAAAACAGACCAAAACTGCTTCCCATCCCTTTCGCTTTCATTGCCCTCCCTGCCCCCTCCCCTTTTTAGCTTTAGTTTTAGTCTCTGTTTGAAACTCATCTTCACTGTGTGAGTAGCCTTTTCTGCTGCCCTTACCAATCATGGTTGTGCCCCCGGCAAGAGCAGCCTTTGATCCCTGAGCAAAGTCATCCACGGTTGTGGTTCCACGGTATGGCATCTGGAGGTGGGTATGGATGTCAATACCACCAGGGATCACCATCTTCCCATTGGCTTCGATGGTCTTCACACCACCAGGTACGATCAGGTTGTCGCCGATCTGCCTGTCAAGGGCAGATTAAACTGTCAGACATGTGATGATATGAGCCCAAAATAAGTAACGCCTGAAGCAGCAAAAACAAACCCCTGTTGTTCAGACTTCATAGAGGACACAAACCAGACAGAGGCCAGCCAGCAGCCTGTGGCCTAGCATGCATCTAGGTGTTTATTATGCAACACCAGGCTTTCTGTTTGTCCCTCTCTCTGAACTGCCTCACTGAGGGGCAGCAGGGACAAATAGCCTGTAATTGGAAGATCAAGTGTGAATAAGACAGGAGGGAACCAGTGAGAGGACAGGGACCCAGGTAGATACAGAGAAAGGAATTCACTCAAACCACCCCGGCCTCTTCTGGCAGGATCGAGACAGAACTACAGACAAAAGTGGTTATTATCACCATAACAATTATCCATCAACAACAAGTGGCATTTTGGCCTGTTTCAACAGGCAGGGCATTATGTGCATGATCAACTAACTTGTGTTCATGCATTCATTGTTAAAGTCAGTGTAGTTTCCTTATCTTTGTGCTGAAGGAAGAGCTCATAGCACTGATATGTTTAGCCTTTTAGACTGTAATATTTGAGCTTGACATTAGGTTTCTCTCTGTCACTGGTAATGATGCAACCAGTTTTACCTGCTAGTGGCAAATAGATTCATTTAATCAGTCAGCTCTCCCTCCTTCTACAAATTGCTCCTTCCCCTAATTGATGTCATTCTTGCAGATGTCCCAAATCTCTACAATAGAGGAACCAGAATTCCCCTTTGACAATCACATCAATTCACCTGGCAAAACACTTAGACAGGGTGATCAAGATGTCTTACTTAAACTTTTAAACACATCAAGAGTTATATTTCTTCACAAAATACTTGAATTTCTGCACTCTCATAAAGAAAAGAAGTAGTTAAGTATGAAAGAGAGGAAACATGAGATACAAATAACTTTACAAAAAGGGTGATTGGCCTGAGTAAAAGCACATGGGAATCGATAAGACCACAGCAGAAATGAGGGCAGTGGAGGACTTACTTAATGAGGCCATCCTCCATGTAGATATCAGCATAGAAGGACTGGTCATCATTCACAATCCTCCCACCTTTGATCAGAAGCCTGTCGCTCTGTAGAGAGAAAGATTGGAGGGAGGGAGGGAAGGAGGGACAAGAGAAACATTACAATTCAATGCAATGTTCCTCCAGCAGAAACCCAGTTTTGGCTGGCTACAGTACCTCCCACTGAAGGAAGATCTACTATATCATTTCTGTTCCTTATTTGGAATTGCACAATGCATCTCTATTTCACTATAGTTACATTTTAACCTTCTTTTTCTACCCAGAGAAGATGAACAATGCTTCATTCATTCATTTATCATGGCTGAGAGGGGCATGTTTGTCATTTGTAGAGTTCCTTGTTAAATGAGCCCATCAGACACTACTAAGCTTGCAGAGGCCACAGTATCTAGTTGTGTCCCACAGTGGAAAATGCACCATAATTTTTTTGTCAAACAAATGCATGAACAATTTTGCCATATTACATTGCTTGGAAACTGCAGCCACTGTGATCATATTTACCAAAAAAAAAGAAAATTCTTAAAGTCACAGTAAACAAACATCAACTTAATATAAAATTATTAAAATCAAATCTAACTTCAGGAGAAGGTATTTATAAAGATAAAGTGAGCAGCTTTCAGTGTAACTTGTATTCCCCTGCTTTAAAATGAGTTGGACTGGTTATGGTGACATCTGGAAGGATGATGGTTTGCTGCTGGAGGCTGAGCTGAAGCTGCTTTTATGAACTGATCATGGATTAACATCTGAACCACGTTTATCCAGATTTTGTTATGAAACAACACTAAGAGTGGATGTTATTTTCTCAGTACAATCCACTCACAACATACCAAAAGTGAACACCAGTGCTGATTATTGATCACTTCATGAGGCTGGATATTTTTTTTTACCTGCATGGGAATATCCTTATCAGTGATGCGTACATTCTAATTTGCTGCACTAAAACAAAACCACAAAGCTATTGTCACATCTCTGCAACCTTACATCTCATAATGTGGTCTGATCTGGGCGTTGCCATGACGCCATACAATCAGACAGCAAATTTGCTGCTGCTGCTGCTGCACCTCGAGCTGACTCTGGCAGGCCGTTGTCATGGTGACGGGTTGACTGCAGGAAGAGAGAGACTAGAAAGGAGGGGAGGCTGGGCCTGTATCTGGTTCTGCTGAATTATTGGGTTATGTTTCAGTGTACAGCTGACTATTGAAGAGGGTGGAGGGCTACATGAATAGGCGGGGGTTAGTGAGTGATTCTGTTCATTTAGGTGGTTTTTAATCAACTGGTCATAGAAAGAAAAGCGTCTAAAGCTGAAACAATGAGGGAATTGACTACAGTATTTGACCAACCATATTATTCTACAGTTGTTTTAATAGATTTATTGTTCAAATATTTTAAATTTGCTTGTTCCATCGTCTCAAATTAGAAGATGTACTATTTTTATTCATCAGCTATATTATCTGTCTTCTATGTGGCTAAAGAAGATGGTTCCTTCCAAGCATAATAAACCATGCATCATTCTGGAGAAACAAATGATTCTTTGTAAGTCCAGTTTTATGACATAGTTTTTTCACAAAATGATAATATTAGGTTGTATCCCAAACAAGTAAAGCCCCAGTAATACGCTCACACTCAGTTAGCCCTTTTATGAGAAACAGACTTCCATATTTTCCCATCAGCACATGTGTGCAGTGATTTACACTCCTGACTGTGAACCCAGTGTTCCATCAGTCTAATGAACTGCAGCCACTCCTTCACACATCAGAAAAACGAAAATACCTTAATACCACTTCATGTGGAGCTTAAATCACACAAGCTAAATATCTGCTGAGCTCAAAAAACACTCAATATGTGTGTTATTGTATCTGTGTGTTTTTGTGTGTTTAGTGGTAGTGGAGTAGTGTGTAACACAGCTCAGAGCCTTCCTAGACGACCACACCCAGAAGAAACACATTACAATTCACAGTCATCAGTGGCTTGAGCACCAGCATAGATCATACGGTGGAGCTGCTTCCAAAGTAGAGTACTATTCAGCTGCTCTAAAAACCAGCTTGAAGCAAATGACATTAATCACAAGCTTCTAGAATTCAGTCAGGGTAAAAGCTGTGAGGGAGGAACCATAGCAAAATGCACATTTGTCTCTGAAAATGACAGTACTCTAGAAGCAGTTGAGTGCTACAATTTTGATGATCGATAAACATGTTATTTGCTTTTAACAATTACAATATATCTGAGTTATGATAATGCAGTAAGGGGTGTGCTCTCATGCATGGATGCCTTTGTGAAGTGCTTTAGCAGTTTCTCTCTCTCTCTCTCTCTCTCACACACACACACACACACACTTGTATTTCTCTTTGTCAGTTACTGCCCATTATCCCCACTGGCCTGGGGACCAATCACCTGTCTCTCAATAGATTTCCATTTCCATTACAACCAGTATTCCCCAGCATCTGCCAGGGAAATACATAATGAACTTACTATGACAGTGGACTGCATCTGATATTAGACCTCAGTTTTCTCCAGTCAGTGGAAAACTGTATGTTAAATGACTAGATGCCAACAACAACAACACAATGTCAACAAGAGCACTCAGAGGTACCTCGGCCAAGGCACAACATTTGCTCATGGTGGATCCTTTGTGAAAAATGCGATCCAGAACAACACAAAATGCATCCTAAAATCCTTGATCCTGATTGGATCCGGGTGACCTTGACCTTTGACCTTTTTCAGTCATAATTTAATCACTTCTAGGACTGGTCTCCACCAGTGTCTGTACAGAGTATGCTGATGACCTGGCTATTTGTCCATAATCCTGCTAACCAACAACGAAAAACATAACCTCCTTGGCGAAGGTAAAAACAGATCAGCCCTTTATAAAGGCAACAAGCACATCCAATGTCTCACTGACACATACTGTAACTTAAATCTGAGTGGTGGTACTGTTTGGCAGAAGGGTGAACAAACTGTTGAGCTTAATGACACATAATATAAGAGAAGAGTTTTTCATGAACATTTCTTTGCCACATTTCATAAAGCTTAATTTATTGTGGATTTTCCTGAAATTTAGAACAGAAAACCTCAAACTGCCACATTCAATAGTGCTACATTTATTCAACCACAAACAGCAATATGTTATACTTTAACATTTCACAGTAAATATAGCAAGTGACAGCATGATGTTTCCCAACACTGCCACACTTACAGAACATAGTTATTGTGTGCCAGAGGACTGTTTATGGTGTCAGGATTTATTCAGGGTTCTGCCATTCCTCAGCACTTATTTTAGCTCTTTATATGAGACAATGAGGCATATGACTGACATGAGGAGAAACTCAAGGTCCTGTGTGTCTGTTATAGTTTGCGCACATCAAACATCCTGCCTAAATGTACAAGAAAATCGTCCCCGTTTTCATCATCTCGGATCCACATACCCAACCATGTTTCCTCAGTGATTCAGACCTGTTTGTTTGGGATTTTTAAACTAAAATCTGGTAACTTTCAGTATGTTTAGGTAAAGATTTGTATTATTTTTAAACAGTAAAAGTTATGTTGCTGGTCGATGCCTGATTTGGATTTGGATTAGAACATTTCCACAAGAAATCGGTGCTGCTGATCCTAATTTGCTCTGAGCTTCTAGGGTTACTGACCATTCACACATCATAATGTCATCATGCAATGTTGGTAGAATAAGAAAAACACTCCTTTTCCCACCTTGGGAGTGTTCGTGCATACGTTATTCCATGGTGATTAGGCCAAGGATGTACTGAAGAGCTCTGGATCTTAGGCTCTTGAATGAAAAATGCTCACCTGGAGCATGAGCCAAATAGAGTCTCCATAGAACCTCCACACGATCAGTTTTTCCAACTCTGCTGCATGCAAACAATATGAAAACTTGCTGCTGCTTTAATTTAAAAAATATAACAACATGGCAGTAACTGTAGCTAGCTAGCAAGCAACACGCACAACTGTGTGGAAGCTGCTGAGCGTTGCTCTCGGAACTGAGGTGTCAAGGCTGGTGAACAGCGCGAGGCAACAGGAAGGGATCAGCCAAACGCAGAGACACAGTCTACCTACTACACTGCATGTAGCTGCTGAGTTAAATAAAACTAACAAGGTAAAATTATGTTTCACCAAAGATCCAATGGAGCAAGTCACAAAAACTCTAAGTTGAACTAAATCCTGGCTTACATGAAAACAAATAAATGTCAGCCGAGATTTGCATAACGTCAACAATCAACTTCTTAGTTATCTTCACTTCCATAAGTGGACTGTGCCTGACTGTGATCTACTCTCAACACTTTTACAGCTGGTAGAGGATCTGATGTTTTTCTATAAGTCACAGCACAGGATTTCTTCAGCTGAGTTGACAAATTAGGACAGTTGGAGGATTATCTTTAGCACAAGCATCATGCAAAGATTATCAGCTGAACCCTATAAAGGTTTTGTCCCAATGTGCTGAAATCAGACAAATACTTACTAATGTCTGTCAATCACCTAAACAGGTCAAATGAAAGTCAGAACTAGTTTATGAAACAGTATGGAAAAAAGTCATTGGGCCCTTTTCACCCTCCTCACCTGCATCGTCCCTCCAGTGCTGACAAATCCAAATATTAAATTACTGGAAGCTTAGCAGTGAAAGGTTCGGGTGGAAAAAAATCATTTGTCATTCAAGTCTAAAAAAACAAAGCACCAAAGATAAAGGACCTTTTGCTGCACAGGAAACTGTCATTTACACAAGCCAACAAAAATTTAAAATAGACTGCAACATGTTGTTCTTATACTGATACATTTTTTCCACTTCCACCAGACTGGAGGGGAAAATGCTCATAAATTAGGGAGCAAATTAGTAATAACTACTCCTCAGTGGTTAATAAGTGGGAAGAGTCATGGAAAACCTCATAACTACAAAGCAGACCAAAGGGCCTGGGAGGATATTAGATGAGCCCTCCATTAGTGGAGACCCTTATGTGGGTGGAGAGGGCAGCAGGAACAACTGGAAGAGGGAAGTCATCCTGAACGTGTACCAGCACCTCTGCTTCAGCCCTGTTGCCTAGCACACA